TTCAAGCAACGTTTGCAACCGTCGATCAGGGTTATCGTGACAACCTCAAATCACGTAATCTTTATCTATCAACATGGTTTAGACGAAAAGTCAATGACTTAATGGACTGATGCCACATTATGGTTTGGCTGCTTTTGGCTTTCTTCAAACTGACTAACTATATCAACAGGTAGACATGATTGCTATCAGTACAGCATTGCGAAGACTGTTGGGTTTCATTGAAATCATGAACCTATCAATGTTAGGTCGTCATTGAAAACCTGAAAGCACAGAATGACCGTCTCACATTAGTATAGGACTCATAAGCAGTACTGAGACTAAACGACCGTCTAATACTACCAGGTTTTAACTTTTAAATAATATGATCGTTGCGATAAAACAGGGTTTTATAAAAGTGTTATACAAAATAAGTATAAATAAAGTCAAAGAAATAAATCAATAATACATAATGTTTACTATTTCAATATAATTTACACACAAGAATAATTAGATCACCTGTAAACTTAACGCTTTCACATGGGCCGGTATTAAAACAACTGTTGGATCATGTACAAGCGCTTCTAAATCAGATGACATAAAATCAAATACTAAACAGATACATCTATCTTGACTGAATACATCGAGAAGAGTTAAAACATTGGGATGATCAATTTCTTTGAGAATTTTAATTTCTCGAATAGCAGATAAATTCATACCATCAGCCAATACCCAACGTGGACCTGCTTTGACCTTGAGAAAAGAAATAAAATGAAAGATGTAAATAACTATTTTAAAAAATGTTGGATAAATATATGAAATCATAACATAACCATAGATGTATAATTAATAAAGTTCTCTGTTGATAGTGAAATATGAACGATTGAAATCGCATAATGAATCAACACTAAAAGGGTAAAATTTGGAGAAAGATGAACACCGCCAGTCGGAGTGATCCATATGAAATTAACCAGTCAGTCAGATGCAACGTAGAACTTCGTACGTAAGTACATCAGTTCATGTTGCCGTACCACATCAGCACAGAGATGTAATTGTCAATTCAAATCCAATAGTAGAAGAGGTAGTAAGGGAATTAGAAGTAATCGGAGAGGTTAGGATTAGAAGATATTATTCAAGTAGTATGATTCAGTGAGAAAAGTCAAAACTAGAGGGGTTGAAGAACCCAGAAGAATAGGATTTGAGAGAACACAAAGAATAAATGCACCGGCGCCATTGCAAACGGTTTTGAGCCATGTCATTCAGGGTATCTAACCATCGATTATTGTCATCTCGCGGACCCAAACCAGGTAGTCGATCGTTACCGACATGGCTTAGTCCACTCGTCAATGACTTCATGGATTTCTGCCATGTTTTGGTTTGGCCGCCCCTAAATTTCTTCCATCCTGCTCCTACACTACAAAACAAAGCTCGTGGAGGTAGTCGGTGGTTAGGCATACCAAATTAACTAACTACATACATAGAATTATCAAACCATCAATTTAGGGAAAGTTCAGCATTACTAGGTAACTCATATTAAGTGTAATTATTCTGTATTAGACTTGAAATAACTTTGTGTATAAAAGTTATTGAAACTAACTAATTTCCCGAAATACAATAAACTAGGAGATTCATAAACGGTGACTTTTACTACCATAAACAATCCTGGAATGTTTATAAGGTAAAGCAGATAGATAATTAAACAAACATAGTTTTGTATCTAGTACAATAGTTTTATTAAACTCTTTGTGACATCCTTCTCAATTAAATGGTAACTAAGCGTCTGTAGATATAATTGGGAAAAAATAAGAAACTACAAACTAATAATATGCATTGAAGCAAATTATTATGATTATTATTACTGATTTGAACCATCTAAAAAATCAATTGTGATTGATATGAAAACAACTATTATTGATTTAATTTGAAACGATCATAGAAAAATATTCTACCTAATAGTTTTTTGACAAATGTTAGTCGTTTTTCAATTATGAAAAAAACAAAACAAATCGAAGATCAACTCAAAATCTACGCAGTTATGTATGATAAGCTATTATTGCTATGAATTCAATTCGATTGTCACAATGATAAATAAAGTAGGCAGTTTTAATTTTTTCATGTCAACTTGACTTTATGTTCTCTACAGAAAAATTTCATTAATGATCAATAACAACGGAAAATGTTTATTTATAATGAAAGTTTTCTTTCCAAAACTCTTTATAGTAAAAAAAGAACTGAAGTACAGAAAATATCTAACGTAACTAATGTAATGTTATTTTGAGCATATTGTAGTTTGAGAAATGAAATTCTGACTGTCAAAATGAATGAATAAAGTTTTGTTGGGAGGTATGATTATTTAAGTTACGTGTAGAGTCAAGGTGTGCATGCAGTTTTATGATCTCTTTCTCTCTCTCTCTCTGTGTGTCTACAGTTCGATTATCGATTAGTTTACTTACATTGCGCCGGTAGGACCCGGTGACTTATTTACCAATCAATACATCAACTAACGAAATAACAACAACCAACACTTAAATGCTTATTGATCTTCGAGCTCTTTGCAATCCAGTGATCAATAAGAAAATGGAAATTCAATCATGAAACTCATGTTATAATATAGTTGAAATAACTGAACACATAGCAGCAAAACAATTAAGGAGTTGCCATGAAAATATTAGCTTAGCCAAAAGTGATCTACAAACACAGTAATTTATGATATGATCAAAGACCATATGACAACAATTTATAGATGAAATAAAAGCTCAGAAAGAACAGACTATAAAGATACATCAGTCTAAGCATCTACTTACTACAACAACAAAAAAGGTAAAAATAGTAGACATTTGTATGTGATAGTCCCAGAAGTTCTACTTCTACACTATTTATCCTAACATATATAAACTGTAATGTAAGCTAGTAGATAAAATACAATGATATAATGTAAAACCTAAGATGATAGATATCTGGTTAAGAGGCTGGAATAATGACGTAACGCAGTTGTGAATAGCTTTCTCTGCTACTAAAATAACACACTCATACATATGACCTATTGAACACAGGAATAAACATTATTTAAAATCATTGAACAAGTTAAAACATTGAGAGAGATATATAACAACTTATAAGTTTATTCATTCTCTAAGGGGGAAATTAATGCACAGCTGCTACCAAACATAACCTATGAATATTTCCAAGCGTAAAAAATAGCTTCATATTTATTTATTTTTACTTAGTTTATTGAATGATAGATACATTTTCCATTTTAACAAAAAAACAAAACAATCATTAATAGATTGATAAAATTAATGACATGATTTTTAGTTTTTTGTATAATTACACAATAAATAATGAGAGATAAAAAAAAAGAAGAAGAATTTTATTTACCTTCTTAATAGCAACTAATTGTCCATTTCTATTATTATCTTGAGCTAAGAATACATTAGCAAATTGACCTTCACCAAGGTAACATACTTTTTCATAACGTGAATTTTTACTAGTTTCATCTACAAATATATCCATGCTGAAGTTGAATACACAAAAATAAAAGTAATAACAATAATAATAATAGTTGTAATAATAATAACAAAGAAATAAATAACATTCTGTAATTAATTTATATAAATCATGAAATAAATAAATCTACATGTACATGATAATTCAGTATGCAACAAGTACATTTACAGCATTAATAGAGCTCAATACTGATGATCTATGGAGTGATGTAATTAGATTCAACGATAATGTGAAAATATTGGAAAGTAAATCAATTCAAATGAAATGTGAATATACATATGACCTGACAAATAATGTTATTCAACATGTGTTAATAATTTCTAATTCATATTAATCGTTGCTCATTCATATTCTACAGTATAATCTTTTATCATAGCCAACTAATACACTTTAATATGAATATTGAAGACTACTTGTTGGGGATGTTAGATCCCCAAAACACGCTTGATAAATGCCTTATCTGAGATTTCACGTTTGCTAGCATGGGCTGATCAGTTGACCATGAGATTTCATTTCCCATCAGGAAAATCCATGTCTGTGATTGGCTGCTGTGTATTTTAGTGTGCTATTTTCGTAACTGTCACAAGGTCGTTTCTATGATGTATAAATAAACGAGAGTTGTATGCTTGATTGTATTGTGATTGCTGGGTGTTTGTAGAATATACTTTCTACGCTTATCAAGACTTCTGTTTTGCAGTTTGGGATTCAAGGTAGCCTATCTGGACTCTGGTAATTGTCTTGTTCGCGTTTATTGACTAAGGTGAACTCGTAATAGCTTCAAGCGTACCTAGTGACGAACATAACACTACTGAAAGTGAATTGTCTACAATAGCCGAAACCTTAGAATCACAAACAATAAAATTAAAAAAAAACCGTTTAATCCTCTCAATAATTTATTATTATCTAAACTATAAAACTGTTTCCCTACTAACAATGCCATAATTATAGTAGTAATATGAATAATTATTAATGCATTATGTAACATCAAACAAATCGTAATCTTATATTTATGTATACATACTTGACAATGATGATAAATCACATCTGATGTGTAACTCTATGAGCAAATGTAATAACACTAACTAGACCAATGAAAATTTGTCAAATGACAAGTTCATGTGATTAGGTCGAGTTGTAGCTGTCACGCTCAAGCGGTGAAACATAAATCACCAGTAAACTTAATTTCCTAAGAGACTTTGTAGACATATGATTTAGTTTAGCCATAAAAACATTTCCATACTCCACCTTTTCTATCGACTAACCAAGATCATCATATGACAGTAGCAACGTCGAGACATGACGCAACACAACAATAACCGATCAATGTGCCAAGAAAAATTCCCTGAAACTTAAGACACCTTGCATACATTATCGAGTCATAGAGAAAATTAAACAAATACATATTGATTACAACTCATCCACATACACACACACATACAACGAACAGAGAAATTGAAATTACAAAAAAAAAACTAATTCAGTACTAATATCATTATTATGATTATTATTTACAATTTATTAAAACAAATTTTTAAAAAAATAATCTAATTTGCCATGTACATTCACATTATATAAAATAATGAAAATAAAATACAATGATTCTGTCGGTAAATGCAAAGAATAGAAAATTCATGTAAAAATGAAGGAATTTAAAATTCTTTCCATGTCAATGGTAAATCACAATATGTACACATTGGATGAAGAATTTTTGAACGCCAAACAGATGAACGATCTAATAAACAGAAGAACATTGAGAGAGAGAGAAAAAATAGAAACACATGTCATTGATGCATAAAAAAAATGTAAGCTGACCAGAAAAAAATAGTAGGCTTGTAATATTATTATTATTATTATTTCTGTAACAAAAATATAAGTTTAAACATGTACTTAAACTAGTTTTTTTTTATGCCGCAATAGTTTACTCAATCACAATGTCAATCAATTAATAAGTAAATGATGTAGAAAATAAGATATGAATATGAATATGAATACAAAGAGATTTAAACAACACGGAGCCTTATAAAATAACATGATGTGAAAAAAGCGATGAAACAAAATCCTTCCACTCCCCTGAAAATAATCACACAACAACAACAACTACTACTACTGCTACTCAACAACAACATACCTTGAGGAGATATGCTAAGGGCTATACGATCGCATTGATTACAATGACGAAACATTGGATCAATGCACGGTTCCAGCGATTGCATGCAACGTTCTGAAGAGGAAGAAGTAAAAAAGCAAGGGATTGTATGAAAAGTGACTATGAAGTAAAAACCAAACAATTTGCTTATTTCTTATACTGTTGTTTGAGCCACCTACTACTGATACGTGCCTACACTGACTAATTGAGTAGGAAAATGAAGAGTGAATCAAGAATATATGCAACTCATTCAGAGAATAGGCATCTTTTTATGCCCAGTAAATAAAAACTGCATTTTCAACGCATACAGTGAGCGCTCATCTGCATTTCTCACATCATTCTTGGTCAATATTTAATTAGCTCAGAGAATCATCTTTCTACTCTCAAAGGAAGACAATATTATTGTCTTGACTGCATGAACTAAGGTGTTGGAGGTACATCAATATTATAATTGTAACCTCTTTAAAACTCATTTGATGAATGCACTAGATAGTAATTATAATAGGCATATTTTCTTTTATTTACCGTATAAATATTACCATGTGCGATGAAAATAGTGAAGCGGAATATTTTGTTTTTTGAGATCGAATATTTTGATTGATACAATATTTTTTGCCCAGTCGAATTCACGAACTGATCTTAGCTAGACCACCATTAAATGCCTGAAAGCACAGGATGTGTGTCCACGACGGCGCATACAGAAATCGAGCCCAGGACTCTCGATTTGTTAGTGATTGAAAATCTCGACTAATATATTAAATTGTAATTAACTGTTAGGTTCTCATTTTTGTTATTATTTAAAAAAACTAAGTTTCTTGCAGCTATGAACTTAGCTTATTATTAATAAATGCAGCGTATATGTTGTTTTCACGAGAGACTAATCTTAATCGGTATACAAATGAAAACTACAGAGCACTGGAGAGTTGAATACCCATGACCCCTTTGGACATTGAATACAGGAACTTTAGGTCTAGTGATGGGCGTGTTGCCATTACAAACGCTCGGTCGAGAACCAGTGGTAGAGTTTCGACTCCAATTAACTTGTGGTATTGAGAAATGATCATCGAATATCGCTAGAAAGAACTATTTTAAATTTTAAAAAATAAGCAAGGGGTTCTAACAGTAACAAGTTCGCAGGCGGACCTAGAGCTATTATATTTAATCTCAGGGGAGTTCGTGAGTGCGTCGAGTTCGGCAATGGCATATTAAAATGAAACATTTGTCCGATGTTCCTCTATTTCCAATGGTACTTCAACTGAGATCAATCTTGATAAATAAAACATACAAATGAAACTCTATTAGACCACAGAAAATTAAAAAAAAACAATATATGAAAAAAACTCACTAAAAGGATGGTTTTGAGCACAATTCAAATAAGTAAGATCTGGAATAATACGTACTAAACAGAAAAGAGCAATATATCCACCAAGCAATTTAAGGAAATATATGCAGCATACACAAAGTGACCAGATTAAAATATAGGGATATAAAATATTAGATGGAATACAGTTAGTTAACACTGTGATCCAATTTAAGACTCATCTAATGGATGATGTAACTGGATATATCACAGTGTTGATAGTCGTTCGGGGAAAGAAATGGCTTTATTCTACCAAGTTTTATTTGATTTAGTTTGATATTTTACATATGTATGCATAAAGAACTTCTTATAACAAATATATTGGCTCAGGTGCATTCATTTTTTGTGTTCTCTCAAATCACAACCTTCTGAATTCCTCACCACCTTTGTCTTTTTAAGTTTATTTCAATAGATTCTACTTCTTCAATAATATCTTCGAACCCTAATCTCTCCGATTACTGCTAATACTTCTAACTACCTCTACGACTATGGGATTTGAAGTGACAATTGAGTCTCTGTGTTAATTTAGTATGGCAACTGGAACTGATGTACATACGTGCGAAGTTCTACGTTGCTGTTGAATGTTGACCGCATGTATATATTCGATAGGTAGCTGATGAAGATCATACTGAAAAGAATATTATTCGAGGACATATAGATATAATACTTTCGCAATCAAAGAAAAAAAACCATGAATGTATACAAACATGCAAATAAAAAGGATATTTTCTAAGCATATAGGACATTTTTCTGAAGAATTATTAATAGTTTCATGTGATAATTTAAAACGATGTACATACAATTGTACAGCTAATTGATGAACATTTTTAGCTAAATCATATAAATCTTTCACAAAGCATATAGTTTTATTTGACATAGTAATCATATGTTTGGTATCATTGTCATTGTCAACAGATGACTTTGAGGTATTCATTAATCTTTGTGATGATGATGATGATGATTTGATTGGTTGGAAAATATTTAAAGTTAATGTAGCCATTTGTGAAACTAATAAACAATCTGTAATTAATCAATAAAACAAAATTAGAAATGATAGAAAAATAATTAAGTCATTAATAAATAATAAATAAGAAAAATTTCGATGTAGGAAAGTGATATTATTTATTTAAAATCTATGCCAATTATATTTAAAAGTTTAAACAATCAAATAATAATAATAATATTCAACTCATTTATATAACAGTCAGTAGACTACAACGTTGAACTTCGTACATACCGTATATCTGTTCAAGTTATCAACACACTTTAGAACACAGAGACGCTACTGTCGATTCAGACCTCATAGTGATAGACGTAGTAGAAGTATTAGTGGTAATTTAATTGTGACCAATTCGGTCTCGTGTGCTGTTACGGGTTATACTTCTACTATCTCTACCACTATGTGATTTGAACTGACAGTTGCGTCTCTGTGCTAATATGGTATGGCAACCTGAACTGATGTACTTACGTGCGAAATTCTACGTTGTAAACGACTGACCAACTGATTAGTGATAATGGAGAAGATTAGGCTTTGAAGAAATTAGTCAACAAGTATAATTCTGTGAAATTAATTTTTAAAAAAATAAGAAATATAAAAGTAATGAGGAATCCGGAAGATTAGTAGAGACATTATTTATACAACAAGAAGAGATGTATGAATGCGGTCTGTTATAATTAATTTGTTCGCGCATAATACCGAAGGTCCTGGGTTCGAATCGTGCGGGGTGCAGGAGTCGTGGATGCGCACTGCTGAGGAGTCCCATACCAGGACGAAACGGCCATCTTTCAGTGCTTCCAGGTTTCTAATGGTGGTCTAACATTGATCGATTCATGGTTTCAAAAATGTGGAACTTAACAATCTTCACAACCCCGTGATGATAATTAATTTGTGTTGGAAAGCCATCAGTGAAAAAAATATGAAGCTATACAGAAAAACATCATCCACAGATTAATGTTAACGGTTTAAATATATGAAAATGTTATAAATTCGATAAGTGAAAGAATTTCAGGTACGAAATAATCAGCTTTTCAACAACAAAGAAGCTTTTTAAAAAGACTAATGACTAACAGAGAGAAAACATTTTGAAATACAGAACACGAACTCATCAAAATGGTACATTTTCTTCACAGAAATGCAAAGAATGAATATGAATGGTGAATAGTTGAAGAAACATTAATCATACCTACGAAATCGATAATTACCACAAGTGCATCTGATTTTCATTCATGATTTGCATCGTTACTTAATTTAATGATGATTTTGTTCTTTGTAGTCACAATAGAAGTTATTTTACAAAAGATTAACTTCCTTCTCCTCACTAGGCAGCGGGTGAGTTAAAAACCAGTCCAACCATTGTCTCATATTGTTGGTAGACATATAAGGCTTGTACAATTGATAACGACCTCTTTTATATGTGACTTTGCACAGATGATAAAATCATAATAAAACGTATTCAAAACGTACTCAGGAAAATCTTTATTTGCCAAGAAATTACCAAAAGGCTAATAATTAACTGTAAGGTTTTATGTGCTGTAAATTTTAAAAATACAATTACCTACCTACAAATTGATTTTCTGTAAATAATACACAGCCTACATGTTAGTCGAAACTTACATTACTATATGGAAAAATAATTTGAATCTATTTTACTAACCGTAAGTAGACAGAATATCTTAAATTATACATGAGAGTTAATCATATTACTCTAGTTAACTTCCTACATTGAAATATAGAAAGGAAATTAAAGTCACAGACAAGTAAGTTGTAAGAAGACTTTAATTTTACGCGTACACAATATGGGACTAAAATATCAGTATATATGAAGACTGAAAAAAACACACATGATAAATACCCAAATAAAGTTAGTTAATATAATATGAATGACCAGACAACCTAACCACCTTATTATAATAAGAGAACAAAAGCTATTCAGAATATAACAACTGATAGGTCACTAATAAGTAATTTTACATCTGTCTGGTGGCGATTAAATTTCCGTGGAATAAACTGCTAAGTGGCCATTATTTTGAATGATTTAATATCTCGTGCAGAAGGTGATCCCAGGAAGTCGACATGAAAACCTGCTTGATCTAGGTAATGTTTTATTTGGGGACTTGTTAGCTAAGTGTAACCATGACCCTGAGGGGGGGGGCGAATAGGAATAGAATATGATGCCAACGACTGAATAGATTATATAGACAAGTTAATAAATTCATTCGTCCCCATTTACCAAAATAAAATAAAAAAAAGTACAAACCTCGTGCTTGTCTTTGTATAGAGCATTTAAGAAATAAACGAAAACACCGTTCCAAATGACGTTGTTGAATAAACTGATCTAAATTAGTTAACCAGAGTTGTGCACGGGACTGACAAAACAACACAAAGAAAAAATATAACCTCAGTAAGATACAATCGATCCGATCATTTCATAATATATTTGAGAGGAGAAATATTAATACATTGAAATGACAATTATATTTACGGAGAATAAGAAAAACAATCAAATAGATTGCTTACTTTGATTGATTCATCGGTGTCTTTGTTAATCATACATAGAATAAACCTGAGAAAAAGAAAGTATTACACAATATAATATAATATTAATCGATATTGATAGTTATTATTGATATGCCCACTAGTAACTAATTTATTTATAGCAGTGTAATTCCTAGAGTTCTAATGAGAAGCTATAGCCAGTGGAATAGTTCAATCATAACGGGAATGAGCCAGTTACCTAACGAACGCATTAGATGATGGTAGCGTAATATCACGAATGGATTAAAGTTAAAAGTGTGAAGAAATGCATATCGACTCAGTGGTTCGAATGTTGATCGTCGATGGCTAGAACTGCAGATCCTGAGTTGAAGCCATAGTAATGAGGTCATGGATATGAACTGTTAATAAACTATCATAATAAGATAGAAAAAAGCTGTCCTCACTTTTAAGTGATGACCGTATAATTACGGTGAGTCAATTAAGTAAGTAATAAATTACTGAAAAGAGAAACTTTGATATCACTCTTATATTCCAAAAGATTTATTTTTCACCAACCCGTCAGTCATTAATAAACGATTGGGCTTTAAAAAGATGAAGAATGAATTTTCCACTCATGACAAAATCAACAGCTGAGAGTCACACAAAATAATATAAACATTTGAAACAGATCATACATTGGATAAGACAAAATGTATTAGAATGTTCTCAACAATAACACTTGTCTGAGAGAAGCTCACATAGTCCGTATTACTTCTGATGATAAAAAATTGAGATTATTTCTAAAATGTCGATTATTCTTCCTACAAGACGAACGGATTCGTTTTTTCTTTTGTGACTAAGTTCAAATCATAATCGACAAATAAGAAAAAGGTATTCGATACAAAAGAAAATGACAGAAAAAAATTACTATTGTATGTGAAAATGTTTACAGACTTCTTGAAAAAATTTTGACTAATTAGAATATAAAAACATAAATCACCAAACAGAAACTATAAAAAATAAACTCTTGGAATAGTCGATAGAAAAGAAGCTGTTAAATGCGATTCCAACAGCTTTCTAACGGGTAAGCACAGGAATTTCCAGAGTATTCGAATATATTGAAAGTAATGTATAGCGTCAACAAAACTATCCGCCCATTTTCTTACTTCCAATCATAACTCTAATGCAAGGCTACTATTTACATAAATGAGAAAAACTTGGTTTAGTGAAGTACATTGTAGAGACTAGTTCAATATGTAACAGAACCTCCATCCGAGACATAAGCTGAAAAACGACTGAAATCCATCAAGTACCAGACAGCTGGTGGCACGTATTAGTTTGAAGTTCTTCAACAATGTGAGCATTTCAGAACCTCGCCAGTGAACAAGCCCAGAAACAAACTTTATCTGTCATATAAGTAGATGATGAGGATCGTTAAAATTAATAAATATATATTATTATTATTATTACTATTATTATAGGGTTGTAGAGATCGTTGAGTTACACTTAAATCATGAATTTTAGACCATTACTAGAAACCTGAGAGCACTGGACGGTCGTTTCATCATGGTATTCGACTCATCAACAGGGTGTTATACTATTCTCTTTGATCTCCTGTGTTTTTGCTATCTTAACTGTTTTTCTTGTTCACTGTAAAGTTATCTTATTTTTATTAATATTATATTTTATGATTACAGAATGTTGAATATTGAATAACAAGTTAAATTTCATATCGTTGTGGTTTTGTGTTTAAACCAGCTTGATATTGAGCACCAGCTAACCAAATGACTTTGTGAACTTCATGAAGAACCAACATATCTCAGTAAACATTATATCCTCATTCAATTATTAAGTAGAATATAGTAATGAAAATTTGTAGTCAACTAGTTGAAGAGAGATTTTCGTAAACATAACTGTTAAAACAATGAGGAATTTCATCAAAATAGTTCCTAATATTAAAGGTGACAGTAACAATCAAAACTTTACCTGTAAATTTGTAATGTTGTAAGCGACTTATCCAACCAACTTTTCGGAAATGAAGAACAGTCAGTAAGACAAGTCTGATAAAAATCAATTTTCTCCAAACATATTTGTTTTAAATTTATCGTATCATTATCAATTTTATCCTGTGGTAAATGCCATCTTTGTAGTAATTCTTGTAAACAATCAATTTTACGATGTAAAGGCAATTCAGGATTGAATATAACTTCTAGTAAATTATCATTTGACCAAAATGATAAAAAGTGAACCTAAAATTCAATAGAGAGATACGTCAAAGTTGAAGGTGATTAATAGAAATTAAAAAGAATAAAGTGGTTAGTGACAAATTGAATACACTAAGTCCATTTGCTTTTTAAGCTCTTATAGTGAAGATTATGTACAGACTTTCATGAATTTAGAAAGAAGACTGATAGTATCTGGCGCTACCGTTGGATGTCATGTTCAGTGGTCGAGACGTTAAGTGTTTGCTCGCCAGACCGGAAATCCTGGTTCATGGGAGAAGAAATCGCGTATACACACTGCCGAGGAATCCCATACTAGGACGAAACGGCCATTCAGTGCTTCCAGATTTCTAATGGTGGTCTAACAATGATCGATTCATGATTTCAATGCAACTCAACAATCTTCACAACTCTATAATAAGAATTCGAATTGATAGATCAATAGCTAAGAGATAAAATAATCCAACTATTAAGCCACCAAACTTTTGCAACAAAGCCAATCACCTTCAAATAAAAATTGTGCTTGTTGTGAATAGAATTCCAAGGATAACTATATGGAACATTAACAATGTGTGACTACTTTTGAAAACCACAGACATCGTGTAAATGTCTCAACTGTATTTCCAACAAATCAGTGTCAAGTGTCGCTGCAGATGTTCAAGCTGTAAAAGGCACAATTTATTATGATTTTGTTAACTTCCTTTTTGCTCCCAAAGTTTTTCACAGCAGTCATCTTTTACTTTACCTCGGAAGCGGGAGCATTTGTCCTAATAAGCTGATGTTCTTTAGTATATTGATTATTCGGCCAACTTAATGCTTAATTACAACTACCTATTGGACTATCTTAGGCTAAGAAGCGGAAGTAAGTAATATAATAGAAGGAGCATACAAATAGAGAAGCTAGGAGTATTGTATTCTATGGACAAATTGTTTGCGGATCTACATAAGATAGAAACAAAAATACTACTTTGATTATCAACTACAGAGTTGTGATTTTCATTTTATTAAACCGAAATAAAAGGGTACAATTTAAAACAACATTAGAAAGTACATGTTTTCATTTTAAACTACTACTGTCTTTCAAAAATGCGAAACAATTTTAGACATCTATCATTGTTTTATGCTTCTTTTCAACACGAAAAAATTCATCTTAATGAGGACAAATTTAATTCAACTTTTTTTATATTACGCGCAAATTTATACAGATAGACAGACAGATACAACACAGAACTTCGTACATAAGTACATCAGTTCAGGTTGCCATACAACATCAGCACAGGGACGTAACTGTCAGTTCAAATCCAAGAGTGATAGCGCTATTAAAAGTATTAGCAGCAATGGAGAAGATTAGGGAGCCAAGATATGATTCGAAAAGTATAATTGAGCGAGTAAATTAAGAAGGAGAAAGATAGAGATGATGAGGAAATCAGGTTAGAATTAGCGAGAACACAAAGAGTCGATGCACCTGCGCCATTGCAAACGATTCTGAGCCATGTCGTTCAAGGTCTCTCTAACCATTGGCGACTTTCGTCTTACGGACCCCAACCAGATAGCCTACATCTACCAACATGACTCAGTCCACTTGTCAGTGACTTCATGGATTTCTGCCATGTTTTGGTTTGACCGCCCCTAACTTTCTTCCAACCTACTCCTACACCACAAAACATAGCTCGTCGCGGCAGTCGGTGGTTAGGCATACGTAACACATGTCCCAACCACCTCAACTGATGAAGTTTCACTACTTCATCTATTGATTCGCCATCCTTACCTAGAACTCGTTTCCTAACGATAGCATTGCTTACTCAGTCGTCCCAGGATACACGAGCAATGCTTCGGATACACCTATTATCGAAGACAAGCAATCTACGAATGTCCTCTACTCTTAACGGCCAAATTTAAGAAAAAGTTTTGTGTGACAACAAAATTAGTTATCCATTAACTTATAAGCTAGCACTGACTAGTATGCACTAAGATTTACTTAGTATATAATGTAATTCATACATATTTGCTATGCTACAACATAACTATTTTGATATTTTCTAAAACCCGAATGTGATCATGTATGTAAATAAAAATAAAAATAACGATAATCTTTATTGACACTTATTATTCAGTATCTAAATAAAGAAATGTCCACTATTCAAATAACAAGCATTGAAAACTCCAATAAAAACATAAACACACACACATGTGTGTGTACGCAAAACTCACCCTAGGTGAAAATAAAGCACAATGTCGTGCACGATTATTATCTAAATAGTTGCATGGCCTGTTAAAAAAAGCACAAAATAAAAGGAAAATCAAATCCAAATGTCAGCAATACAAAAGTATGTGAATAAGTTTAATACATGAAATGTAAGTGAGCCTCCACTTTTTTTATATGGGCGTTTGTATGTAATCAATCCAATCTTCACTCTAATAAATAGTGCCAGAACTTGCTTAACATCGAAATAATGAATATAAAGTCTATGGAAACTTTAATAATCTATCTTCATCACTGATATGCTCTTCAATTGATATGTTTGAAACTATTATGAGTTAACCTTAGTCGGTAAACGAGAGCGAAGACAAATGATCCAGTGACACGATAAGCTATTCTAATCTGAGCGTCCCAAAGCCCCACAAAGTAGAGGAAGAAGTGTTGACAAGAAGTAGAAAGTGTATTCTACAAGCACCGAGAAAATATAATGATCTCAAGAATACAAATCGAATTTATTTATACATCATAGAAACGTCCTTGGAAGAGCCACAAAAATAGCGTACTAAAATAGCAATAACAGTCAAGGATTCTCCGGATGGGATACGTAATCTTAGGGTCAACTGATCAGCCCATGCGCAAAAGCATAAAATCCAAAATTAGGACCTTTATCAAGTGAGTTCTGTGGAACTAACGTCCCCAACAATCCTCCAAAAATGATTCAAAAGTTTTAAGACTACAGAAATGATGCTTTGTAGCTTTCTCAATACTCACCAGTAATTATTTTACTCGTCCCTAGTAATAATGAGTAAGAACACAATTAGCCAGTAAGTCAAAAACCTAACTAACAAAACGTTAACCAGTTACTGAATTGTAAATATCATTGATAACTGGATAATAAATCGTGAACAGTTTGAATAAGTCGATAAATTACTCGTGCGAGCTGAACATTTGTTTTGCGAATTGGTTGTGTCACAAACCGCATTTACACTGAAAACTAGCATCTTAGATTTTTCATATCGCATAGAAAAATTAATCACATAAATCCACCGACACTCAATGTTACACACAATACATATTATGAAATAGATACTATAAAAAAACCTTCCACTATAATAAAATCTACAAGATCATTGTTATAATGTATCAGAGAGAGAGAGAGAGAGAAAAACAATACTATCAAATTTCAAATGACGAAATATGAATGTAATAAAAATTTAATACAACATACTTTTCAAGAAAACAAACATAAACTCCATTTGTTGAAACTGATAATCCATGAAATTCCCAATGGATTAGATCAGATTTTTCATAATTAGAACTACACCATATAATTTGCCAATTCAACTTACCTACATTTATAATAATAATAATAATAATAATAATAATAATAATAATAATAATAATAATGGGGAAAGAAAATTGTTGATATACATATAAATGAAAACTAAGGATACGTGATACGGTATGATCGGACAGAAAAACAATAGTAAAAGCGTTCGATTTTGTGACAGAATAAGATGTTACGCATTTTTGAAACCATGAATCGATCAATGTTAGACCACCATTAGAAACCTGGAAGCATTGGACGGCCGTCTCGTCCTGGTATGGGACTCCTCAGCAGTGCGCATCCACGACTCCTGCACCCCGCAGGATTCGAACCCAGGACCTTCGGTATTGTGTGCGAACGCCCTAACCGTTAGACCACTGAGCCGGTATCTAACAGTGTTAATGTCTAACTTGATGTGTTTGAAAGCTAGCCCTATCTACCGACTAAGTAGTATCACTGGCAGTTACAATTAAAATTTGACATAAAACCACGTACACAGATCTGCAGCTGATAGAATATATTGAAAATTGACTTATTCTGATAAATGAAATAATGATATCCATGTAAAATGCCCGTAATACCAGTTGATAAATGACAAATACTTGGGATATGCATGTGAAGGCCTACCATTAAACAAAAAGTTATCGTGAATAATTTTAGCTGTTCGTTTTCAATCCATATACATAAAGTAAACCAACTTACCTAAATTTTTTTGAGTGGGTTGAGATACTGCCCAGATGCTCAAACCGACGCAAGTGGTTTTTCTGGGGGCTACACCCCAGAGATGAGATGCGGTCCTATAGTAGCCGGTGACTAACAGTAGGTTGATACACCATTCATTCCGTCAGGACACTGGGACTTATGTGCACCAGTGGTACGGAGACAGGGTTTTTCGATCCCCAATGGTGAAGCCTCCATACCCAAAAACATGGTTAAAGCGCCAGTCACTCGCTTTTCGTTCGCTTAATTTTGTAAACAACACCTCACAGCAGCTATTTACGCATGGCCACTTGAGAACATTAAGAGAGAGAGTGAACTCTCCCAACCCTCAGCAATATGAGGACATTTAAGAGCAAAGCTGTTAACAAAGTTTGGTTATCTACCATGTACTGGGGTAGGATCTACACTCTTACTGTGGATGACGGCTAATGATATTACCTGATTACCCGAACTAAAGTAGTTAGAGCGTAGTTGAAGCCAGGAACTTAGCAATCGAGAGTCGAACATCATAAACATTAAGCTACCATTCCATATCACTCCAAGTTATTTACAATTCAATAAATCTATATGACAGTATATTCGTCTAAACGTTTTGGATAACGATTGAGAACTGGGAACTTCTGATAATACAGAAGGTTCTATAAATAAATCTCCTAACCCTCCCCCCCCCCAAAAAAAACAATAAACAATAAATGTCATAAATTAAAAAAACGCCCTTTATTGTTGAAAAATAAAACAAAACAAACTGACGATTCAATGTTATTGTTTATTAAACGAAAAAAAGTGAGGTAGAATGATCTGGCAATGAAAAAAAAGATAAGACTTTAGAAAATGAGAGATGGAGCTTATCCTATTTTTAGTTTAAACTGAATGTATCTGTAAGTTTTGCAAGTTTTATTGAGGGAAGATATTGTTGTTATGTACAAAATAAGATTGAGATCTTTCAAAATACCTTTGGTTAAACTAATTTCCAGAAACAAGGGATGAACTCATGATTTTTTTTACAAAAAATTAATATAATGGACAGGGTCTTAATTGACTGTAGAGTGAGTGAACCACAAAAATACAATAAATGTTAGTTAGTAGTTTATGCAGAAATAATTTAGGATATCATACAACAATATCATGTGTGTTGCGTAACACGCTTTGAAATTATTATTAGAGATAGCATTGTTTACTGAATGTTAACAAATAGTATAAATCAATACACAAAAAACAAGTTCAACGGGAAGGACAAGGAACGTAAACGAACCTACTACATATATTGATCAATTCATTTATTTGATAGACTGGTTCAAGTCTAAGAAATAACTGTTCTGATAAACTTCAAAGTTGCCTTCTACACATCACTATCTATGCGATTGTTAGAGGAGGGATATGTACACTATCCAATAATCAAACTGACGGCAATTATTGAGGACACAATTATAGGAATTAGATCCTAAGTATCAAGAATCTATTATAAAAGCACTATTAAGATAGAGATAGAAAGGGGAACAGTCAGTCAACTACAGTGTGGAACTTCGTACGTATGTACATCAGTTCAATTTACCATACAACATTAGCACACAGAGACACAATTGTCAATTCAAATCCCATAGTAGTAGAGATAGTAGAAGTATTAGCGGTAATGGAGGAGATTAGAGTTTGAAGATATTAATCAAGAAGTATCAGCCAGTAAAATAAATTTAAAAGGAGAAAATAAACTGTCATGAGGAACCCAGAAGACTATAATTTGAGAAACGACAAAGAATCGATGCACCTGCGTCAGTGTAAACGATTTCGAGACACATCAATCAAGGTCTCCAAACGTCGGTTACTATCGTTACGCGGTAACGATTCATCTACTAAGATGGTTTGCTTCAGTTGTCTGTCACTTCCTGGATTTGTGCCAAGTATTTCAGTTTCCGCCGGTAAGGACTTTTGAAGAGCGGAACTAACACTCCTAAAACATCCCATAAAAAGACTGTGTGACCAGCCTCTTACTTCTCAAAATGCGCAGTATTACATTATTACATTATAAATATTTTCGTCGTCATTATTATTATATTCTTGAATTCAGGGATTAGTATAAAATCTGTCTTGTAGTTCAGTTAAACTCAACGTCTACAAAACTGGAAAACAATTACAAATGCAACTAAACGTTTTTTCAACGTGAGATATTAAGGATTTTCATTGTATACATAAAAAGCTTTTGACCAGGCTAGTAAACAAGTGTATGCTCAAAACAAAATAGACTTAATTTCAAAAGCATGAGGCAAAGATTAGGCCTACAACTGTTCTGTATCAATACTATGTGTTGAATAATATGAAATAAATTTTTAATCCAAAGAAATACTTACATTCAGACACTTCATCAAGACTGGCACGCATTAAATAACCATCCACACTAGTTAGTAATATTTGTTTATTGTCCAAATGAATACCTGATGAGGACACAAAAAAATGATTAGAGAAATAATTTACAAGTCTTTGTTCAATATATATAGTGTAACAAATAGAATCTCTTGTTGAAATGAGCCATAGATTGACTTGTTTTGACATCTGATTTTATGATGCTATCGATGATAAAACTGCAAATAAATAATTCATGTTGCCTTTCTGTTCAATTTAGCTTAGTCAACAAAAACAATCGCCATGAACACCCATCCTTACATTGTCTATGCAAATTATACTTTTGATTTTAAATTGCATCATGTGTTACAAAGATCTAAGGAGAACGCTCAAAGTCAGCGTAAAATACTTCAAAACCAAATAAACTGGAAATCTATTGAATCAAGGCTTAGTGGTCTAAAGATTAAGTGCTTGATACGAGATATGAAGGTTAGGTTGAATCGTAAGTGGGCGCTGTTAAGAAGTATCATATACTAGAAAAACAATTTATACAGTGCTTCCTCATTGCAAATGATTATCAAACTCAGATCAGTCCATAATGTAAAATGTGAAAATTCAACAATCTCCGGAAGCTTTCTACAGTAATGAATTTTAACTAAGGTTCAATAAATATGTTTACAAAGTGACCACCATATTAATAAGAACCATAACTTTAAACATTATCATTATTTTTAAATTAGCCAATATAGAAAGAGTAAGGGTGAAATGGATATCCCATTATTATATGAAATAATACAACCATTTTAAAAAAATGGTTTAGTCGATATTTAGTTACTGACGTACGCCCATCAAAATTCGTCTAGCAGAATTCAAAAAGGCAGCATTCTACACGCTTATGGTTTTATCATGAAATTAAAAGGACTGGATTGCGTATAATAAGGGTATATAAAAGTAGAAAACTCTGACAACAGAACAACATTCCGCTACTCCAATATTATGTATATTATTAACAAATAAATTTCTACGTCTCATGGAAGTCAGGGTTAGAGGTTATTTTATTTGAGTAATTCGGTCTACTGATGTACATATAAGTAGTAAGAGAGTGGTAAACAAAACTGAAGCCAACATAAAGTATTTTGATACAATCACTAGACGCTTAGTGTATAATAAATATAGCAACCATCTAAAGCCTATTAACATTAATAACATAAGTTCAATATTTCAAACAATGAAATAATTTGTTCAAACAAGGATTTGTGGTCCAATTACTGTGTGGATCAATTTCCTATTCAAAGAGCTGGATGTTAAAAATCTGGCATTGGATTCAAACAAAACTACTAAAAGAGGTCAAATTCGTAGAGCATAATAAATATTTTGTCAATAGATAGTGAAGTATTTAAGGGATTTCAACGCGGAATAAGAACCTAAATCCTAAACAATGAATACTAGGGTGTATAACTGAACTAGACATTCTAAAATCCGTACATTCAAGTGAATAAATCCTGTATTTGGGTTAGCAAGTACTCAGCATCATGTCATTTCCGAATTCTATTCATTAATCGGGTCGTTTAAACGAACTTCCAACAAAATTCCTGGCTAGAACTCATTAAAATGGTTGATATTTGAACATCCATGAAATAGCGAATATATTTGATCAAGAGTTTGTCTGTTAGAAACAGACACTCTAAATAGATAAACTTGTCGCTTTTGGAACTGTGAAGATTTTAATAATTTAATTGTTCCAACATTATAACAGAAGACATTTCAAAAACTAATGAATTAGAAGAAAATATTTGAAGAGTATTTCAATTTTTTTAATACATCTTCACATACCAGTAATATAACCTAGAATAGGATTTGGTTGACTAACAAATTGACTCTTAACCAAATATAAGGGATCTCGTCCACGACATGGTGTTGGCAAACTATTTGATTGTTCTTGCTGTTGAAAATTAATCGCAACATCTTCCTTAGCTATATGAAATAATAACAAATGACGACCGTAACCAACACACAATAAACGACGAGACATTGACCAAGCTGATGCTAAAATGGTTACATAATACAACGGAGTCGTCCATAGATTGAATAAATAAGGCTAAGATAAAAAATTTAGAAGAAAGAATGGAAGAATTTTAGAAAGTACAATTTTTTTATATACAGATAAACTAGTAAACAATAAAGCTTGTGAAAACTAACATGAGCAACTGGTCCAAGGAAAAAGAATACAGAAGTTTATTTTTGTGAATCTGTAACCACTGCATAGCTTAAAATATGAGACGATAGAGTTCTGTTTAGTGAAGACGCTGAGAAAATGCAATCTTCTAACCACCTTAGGTAATAAAACTAGCAGGCTTGGGATACGATTTTCTTCCTCTAAATGAAAAATGTTACTTCAGTATCGGCTTGCATCAATGCTTGAATGAATGGAAAAGTGAAATAGTTAAGCGTGTCGACCGCCTCACTTATCACTAGAATTTGATGAAACCTCAGCACGGATACACAGGGCTTGGTTGGCGTGCAGAGGAGATATCCGTCTATCAACAAAAGGGACGAGTTTAGTGTGCAGCAGTTCACTGCGATTCGATCAATAAGTCTCGAAACCCAATACTCTAGCGCGTAGACAGTTACCAAACGGCATTAAATCACTCAAAGTTATCATATAAGTAGAAGGTGAAAGATTTATTTGCAAGTGAGGAAATATCAATGGTTGTTCCACAGACTTGAGCTATGCTATTCAGATCGTGTAAAAACTTGAACAATATTTGGTTCTCTTGAAAATTAACATAAAATTAGCCTCTTGAAGAGTGTATTTATAACTGTGAGTGGGGTGGTGGATTACTAGTTAAGGTGTTCAACTTCCAACCATTGGGCTACAGATACAAACCCTAATCCACCTACTTCAATTAAGACAATTGGGTAGAATCATAAGCCCTCACTCTTAGAATGACGTCCATACCCAAGTGTCAGGTGAAAAAGTTAATTTATTCTGTAAATAGAACATGACTTCAAAGAGGAACTTTACTAGAAAGTGGATTTCTATCTAAATAGAAAATACGGATACAACTTACTCATCTACAAAATGGAACGAGCATTACATCGATATTATTTTGTGAAAGTGTCTGAGAAATTTGTTCTTAATAACAGTATTACTCATGAGTAACTAGATTTTTTCATCGTATAATTTTCCGCTTTGTTAATCGCAAACGGCTTTCTTGCAAGTCGATCAATCTCATAACATTTAGTAATCTCCAAAATTCCCGTACTGTTGATACCCTTTTAATCTGTCCAGCCATAATGAATTGGCTGTTTGAGCGCTTTTTTTTGTTGACAGTTAACTGCTGTTATTTTTGTTAGGCTTATCACCTAAGCTAATTACTATTTACTGTAGAATCAATTTTCATTTATGTATAAATATTCAGGAAACAGTTTTCATACTTTAACCGACACTAGGTAAATTATTCCAGTGAATATAACAGTACTTATCTTAAGACTAAGCAAGAACAAAATGTATAAGATGCTGGAATAGGGATTAAAGTTTTTAAAATAAAGACTAATTTCTAATGGTGGTCTAACATTGATCGATTCATGGTTACAAATAAAACTTAACAATCTTCACAACAACTCCGCAATTCTTTAGAAAAGTTTGATAATGGTTAGAAGTTAAACAGAGAATGTGTGGATCATACTACTTGGGACTTATCAGTTGCAAATACCTGGGGATCCCGATATTGTGATTCATACTGAAATTCGAACCGAATACCGTTCGCTTTAGAGACGCCTTATCCAAGGAGCTACTGAGCCTAGATAACCACTAGCTTGTGCGACGAGTATTATTTTATTTGTAAAGGTCTTTACTTAGACAGTGACTATTGGTGGAGTCAAGAAGCGTCTCGTCTTATTTAGGACTCGTCAGCTGGATTTATCTACATACCAGTCTTAATGTTCACACTAAAACTCGATCTCAGTACCTAAATGGAAATAACTCAGAATCTACATATGTCAAAAGAAAATACAAACTCTTATCAATAAAGCTGATTTAGTTGATGAAATAGTAAAATTACGGAATTCAAAGTAATAAAAGAACTGTAAAATTTATACAAGCATTAAGTACAAAAAATTTAAAAATAAATCTCATATCACTTACTATCGTTAATACAAGAATACCAGTTGGTGAATATTCAATAGGAAACACTAAACCTTTCACTGAACCATCTGTAAAACCTAAAACAAGTAGGACTAAACAAAAGAAAAAGAGACAAAAACTTAGGTGTGTACAAGAATAACTGTGATTAGAAGCATAGTAACATATGTAATACAATAAATACTACTACTGTAGTGAATGAGAACACAGGTGGGGCAACCGAATTGTATTTAACGAAAATTACAGAGTTAGTCAGTAAAATCGGAAAACCATATCGTAAATCGTTCATTTACAAAAGATCAGTTCATCCTATGGAACTGGACTGTTCCTGCTGCCAAACATCAATCCACTGTCACTATTCATGCGTTTCATACAAATTCCATTGTTTTCTAACTCTTCCTTTCTTGATCTTCCCCCCATATTATGCTACCAGACTTTACGTTGACACTCACGTCATATACTACTTGTAAGTAGTTCGCACCACAGCACCACACTACTAATACTCATCAATTGAATATGCATCAGATATGCTCAACCATTAACTACCTAAATACCTACCTACCTACCACGAAGAGAAATAGTTTGTTAGTAGAAAACTCATGGGGCCGTCTAAAACCTTATTTAATCCTATTTGCTGCTGTTGAAAGTAATACTATAAAATGATTGTACTCAAGAAAATTGTCCTCCATTTAGAACTGAAACGTTTATTAACTAGAATATTAACTAAAAATTTATGATAAACTTATCAGTATATCGTTATAATGATAAGGAAAATAAATTATTTTGAAATAACTGAACTTTTCAACAAAGTTGACGTAGTGGAGTGTAAAGGATTCACTCATCAATATATGAAATATTGAAACTTCATCAGTTGAGGTGGTTCGGACATGCATAACGTATGCTTCACCACCGACTGCCTCGTCGAGCTATGCTTTGCGATGTAGGACTAGGTTTGAAGAAAACTAGGGGCGGCCGAGTCAAGACATGGCACAAATTCATGAAATCACTGACAACTGGGCTGAGTCGACTACCTGGTTGTGCCTTGCGAGATGATATTAATCGATGGCTAGAGACGCTGAATGATATGGCTCAAAACCGTTTACAATGGTGCAGGTGCATTCTTTCTTTGTGTTCTCTCAAATTCTAAGCTTCCGAACCCCTCATCACCTACATCTCTTTCTTTCTAAGTTTATTTCACTAGATTCTACCTCTTGAATAATATCCTCGAACCCTGAAATTTCCGATTATAGCTAATAATCCTACTACCTCTACTGCTATGGGATTTGAAGTGATAATTGCATCTCTGTGCTAATGTAGTATGGCAGCTTGAGCTGATGTACGTATGTACGAAGTTTTATGTTGTTACTGACTGACTAACTGAAAGGATTCACTGAGTAAAACTGTTCAGTTTGTTTATTATATGAAGGTTCACTTAAGACTTGGAGGTTAAAATGTAGTAAAGAAACGAGTCAATCAGAATTGAGAGTGAAACTTTTAGTCTTGTGCACAAAATTCAAATTTCACATGTAACGAGCAGTGAAAATATCTCCCTGTACTGTTCAAATTGTTTAAAATGATCAACGATTTCTATTTTCCTTATTGTAAGGTAAAAGTGAATGTATCAAGAAGTCAACGCTTTGTTTAATGTATACAGCAAATAAATTGACAATACGGCTTAATCCTAGCCCTCAAACCTAAATTCTGAAACAAATTCTAACTTAGTGCTACTACATTTTATGAACAAACTAATCGGATAGGGTTTCTAGCTTTATTGAGGTTACATTTATCCACCTATTTGTCTTCAGGACGTTTAGCATTATAGCTAATTTCAGTGTAAACACATAAAACGCAGAACTTCGTACGTACGTACATCAGTTCAGGTTGCCATGCCCCACCAGCACAGAGACGCAACTGTCAGTTCAAATCCAAGAGTGATAGCAGTAATAAAAGTATTACCAGTGATGGAGAAGATTAGGGAGCGAAGATATGATTCGAGAAGTATAATTCAGTCAGATAAATCTAGAAGGTGAAAGATAGAAGTGATGAGAAATTCAGAAAGTTAGAGTTTGAGAAAACTCAACGAATGGATGCACCTGCGCGATTGCAAACGATTCTGAGCCATGTCATTCAAGGTCTCTAACCATCGGTGACTGTCGTCTCGCGGGCTGACCTCTACTTTAAAAATCTAAACCTTGACCAACAGCAATGCGGAGAATCTTGGAAGTCTATTTAAGTTATTTGTAGGTCAGGAGAAACAGACAGCCTATATCCATAAAGATGAGCATTTGTGTCGCCACGTTTGAATTCACAGACAGATTAACCTGTGGAAAACATCAATGCCTCCATTGAACATGTAAAATCTGCTTACACTTAGTAATACTTTTGTTTTCTTTTCTACAAACTAAATATTCACAAAGGCTTCTTTCTGATTAACTAAGAACTATTGAAAAATTAGTGACAGTTGGTTTAAATTCTTCCCTATACCATTTTCTCGCCAAATTTTAAACTAAAAAACTGGAAGATTGATTGAACCGAACGAAAAGACTAGCTGTGAACGCTTTGAATTTTGAGAAACAATTAAAAAGTAATTATGAAGATAGGAATTAACGATGATTGCTTACTTTGAAGTTAACGTTTACGAGGAACTTACTGAATAGCTATTTTATTCCAGTCTCAGACTTCTCAAAAGTGCCCACCTATGCCTTTACTAGAAACAGAATATGTGAATCCCAAGTCTTGCAAAGGGCATTAATATTTAGTAGACTTAAAATAGTGTAAGAGATGAAGTTTGGAATTCAACTATGACATCAACTTTTCATAGCTTCAGTTATTGATTCGAACGAAATATAGACAGTTAATGAAATGAATAAAGAAATCTGGAATAGTTGGTGACGAAAAATAGTATGCACCACGCAAATAATATTTGTATGTCGGTTAGAATACTGCACGAACGCTCAAACTGAAGCACGTGGTTTGTTTTATAAAGGACTCACTTTCTGAGCTTTTGACATAAAGGTCTAATCCAAAGGGGTAGTGGAGAAATATCAGATGCAGTCCCATGCTAATCAGTAGCTGAAACAAGTTTATACTCTATTTGTTTACGCAGAATTCCGGAACATAATACACACCATCAGTTTGGAATCAGGGTTTTCCAACTTATCTAAGTCGATTCACTAATCCAGTTTAAGCACCGGATTTTTGCTTTTCATCCTCTCATTTTCGTTAACAACAGCCTTGCCACCTAAAAGTCAGTCAGTAGGACTTTTCAGTCAGAAACTATGAGTTCATAGAAGCACGAGATGATTTCAAGAGGAACAAAACTCTCCATACTCTCAATTGTGCCATAACTTTCGGGAAGCTAAAATCATACATAATACAGTAAAATTCTTTTCGACAAGTTTTATCTAGCAAAAACATTCAAAGAAAAGCAACAACTTACGATTGACACTATCCAAATCATAAAGTTTGATATAGTTCGGTCGTTTATCCATTGAATCGCTGCGCACGACAGCGTATGTATAATCTACCCATAACAATGACATAGATGATCTGAGTGTTTTTTATTATTCCACATACCAGATACGAAAAGAAAACAATCAAGTGAATTTCAATCATTTATTATTCATTAAAAATAAAATGCCGTTAAAAATAACAACATAATAATCACTTTGAGAAAAACCTGTAAATAAACAGTTTAAATTTTTTTGGTCAGTAATTTTTAGAAGGGTTCTTTTCTGTAGGATGGGATTTTCCGACCTTATACCTAGCTCTTCTCTTTTATCCGGGATTGGGACCGGTAATAACTATAGGTGACAGTTGGAAAGGAGAGCCTAAGACAGAATAGGTTAGAAACTGCTGATTGGCGACCTATGCCCCACTATTATGAACAAATTTTCGATCATTTAAACGAAAGAATGCCAATCGATAAATGATACGCTATGATACGATGTGGTCAAGTGATGTATGCTGAAGAGGGTAAATTATTGGCTTCATTACCCAAATGATTTGGAATGTGATGTAAGAACACTAACCACAAGAATAGGATTCCATACGTGATAAAATGACATGATTGTATACAAAAAATTTATGTAAATTAAGCAAGATAAAAGGTCATAGGAAATGGGCGGAAATCAGTTTGCAGGCAAATCAATCTTCAACCCATCAAAACCTGAGTACTAAGCCTAATTCTTGGGTATCGTACCAATAAGATCAAAAATGATCATTGTAGGTTGTTGATCACTAGGACATAAGTTTTTTAAATTTGTGGCGGTGATCAAACTGTATCAAATGCTCAAAAATGAAAAAAAAAACTTACACTCCAGAAAATGGTACTGAAATCATCCATATACAGAATGCACCAGATTTCATTAGGACTGCAAAAAATGTCACTGGACATAATGAAAATGATTCAGTGGCAAATTGACTTGGGTCAACTGGTATTGTATAGTAAGAAGTGTTATTGTCTACGTAAGTTTCCGTCTTCAAATTCATTGAATTAGTAGATTTTATTTGAGGCTGTCGAATTATCTGACACCAACTTGTGTAAACAACCACAACATCTTCTACGGCATCAAAATAATCCACAATATTTTTACATATTAATGGTGAAATATTGTCACATTCAGTAGGCTATATATTAGAAAAATAGAATTTATTAAAAAAATAACTATGGAAGATAACAGAGCAACTAGACAAATTCTTTTATAGCAAAACAATCAGTATTTCAACTATCGTTGTAGGTACATATTTCTTTATATCAATAATGATTATATTCTTTAACGGCAGTCGAAAATTGCTTTTAATGTCCTATACGGTGAAGGTCCGTCCTCTGAGTTGAATGGCTTGGTTGTCGAGCTTTTATTGATTTCCTGAACAACGTTATCAGCAGCAAAAACTTCAGGTAGAGGTTAAGTATTAGAATTTCTCTACATACGACTCGTAGCTTGTTCTGTTGACCTCAATCTTGATTAGTTGTTACTGATCTTTAAATTTTTGTTGTTTGCCTTTTTGTTTTGAATGTATCCCTCTTTGATCTCGTTCTTAGTCTGATGATTTTCATGAATAGTTCAGCTCAGAAAACGAAGCTCCACCATAATCATCCACCTGAGCTTCAAATTTTCCTCAATATCTCAACAGCCTATATACATCCAATGTAAACCTTGTCAGGAGTTTTGCTGATCAAATGAGTTGTTTTATTAGTGCCGATTGTCCGAGGGAAACAACTTACTGCTGTTACATCCCTCTTCAGTCAACAGTACGACTTCGCCCGGAGACCTTGAGTTGCTACTTTTAGTCTCAACGTTCTTCAACCGACCTGCCTGCCATGGTAGAACCTACAGGAACATATGTTCCAGCCAATATAGCTCGGTTGGGTCATCACGATAGGCATCCCGATCACCACGTCAAAGTAGCAGTTACGGACGGGGTCATACCCGCAACAAATCCTACTGGTAATGGAGTATCTTATGGATTTACAATAGATGATCATCCGGTTTTGATGTTTAATCAGATGAGCAGAACTGTAAGAGGATATAAGCTGCAGGTATTACACATCCTTGAAGAGGAGGAGATGTACATCCATCTCGCGAAGTTTGGACCTGTTTTGTAGAGAGAAAGGTGATATGACAACATAAAAAAGGTAAAATTACGATCGTAACTCTTTGTGATTCAAATTCAACATTACTTGCACTGTTGTTTCAATATGATGATGAATCGATATAATATTTGTATTATTTCCAGTGTGATATTCTTCTAGTATCACATTGATTTATTTCAGTATGTTGTCTATTCAGAATAATATTTTTGGCATTGATTCGGTAAGATATGTGTAGCTTGGATTGCTGTAATAATTCTGTGCATCTTCCGTATGTACGATAATTGTTAACTAATCATCAAATGTAAGTAAAATCAATATAGAAGTGAAGTTATGCTTCATTTCGACTTATTACCAGGGTCAAATAAATTCATAGCACAAGTCTTTGTGTTCTGACTACGGGTCGTGGGATTAGAGGTTTCAGCACCAGACATAAGTTTGTTAGCCATATAGCATACATAACACTCTGTTCTATCAAATGAAGAACGAAAGAAAAACAGATACTTATTTTAAGCGTTAGATAGTAAATGCCCATATCATCCTAGGAATCGAACGCAAGAGCTCACGGTCAATAACTTCAAATCTAAAGCATATGTGCATTTCCTTACAGGAGCATTTCCGTTAGACTTAAGAGCCCGTAGGTTGGAAGTCTTAGTATAGAGAATCATAATGGTAAATTTACACTAAATGAAGTTAGTTAATTAACCATGTGACTTACACATTTGTTGTAACGGATAAAGATAATAAACGATTTGGCGACTCTATGAAACACAATACTACTAGACTAAATACTCAACTGATACACAAGATATAGACTAGATCAATTTATACTCAGATATGTGATTCACAACCAAGAACTGAGAATCAGATTTTAGGCCAGATAATAGTTTATTTAAACACTAGTTGACCATTCACAAAGAAGAGTTTACACTGAAAATATAGTAACCAATCACTGATTATAACAATAAATTGTAAACAAGTTTAAATAGACAAGACCGATTGTCCAGCTCATTGGCTAGCCACATGACAAGCCAATGGTTTACTAGATATACCACAGAACCACATAGGGTAAATTATTAGAAAAATAACTAGGCAATTTTGATACACTAGTTTAACAGCTTTATAACCGGCAACAATAAACGTTAGAACAGGAGAAGACATGTAGTAAATGTAAGAAAACTAACTTGAAAAACAAACTGTGGTCGACTATCAACAATCGACTTTCGACTCTGCGCGATTCTACCGTGTTGAACATAGTACTGCTGCCAAATTAATGATAGATCAACTGACTGATAAAAAAAAATAAAAACATACGAATATATATAAATTAATGTAATGTACAAAAGATAAATTACAGTTAATAGAAGTTCAAAAGGCCGGATATTCATTTTTGGAACCATTTGAATGATCATTGGAATCGAAGACGTACTGCATAGGTCTTTTTGTTTGAACTGATAGCTGTTCAGTAGAAGACACATATGACTACTTTCACAACAATGTCCATGTTCCTTAGATATCACGATTTAAAATGTAATCTTTGTGGTATTGAACTTGTTCTTGATAGCTTGAATTTATAAATTAAATCATATCAAAATGCTTCCATAGAATAGTACTCAGTTTGTCCGAGAATATATGATCATTTATTTGAACCGCAAGAATGGGTTCCCAAGTACATTATTAGTAAGAGTCGATTTAATAATTGATTAATTTGCAACAAATTCCTTGAGACTTTAGTTTGGGTCAGATTTAAGTCACAACAATGACATGCTAATAACAGGAGGAAATCAATATCGACAAACTTTATTTCCATATTTGAAACCCTAGTGAAATATTCTGTTATTTGTAAACCCTGGCACAACTGCACACAATTTCAAGTTGTCATACCTCATGAGCACAGTGATGTGTAGAAAATCCGAAAGTAGAATGTGCTGACAGTACTAGCGCTAATAGAACAGATCAGGTATAGTAGTATAATCAGCCAATCAGTAACCAGATAAACTTTTTATTCTGCTCTTGACTTCTCACTTTCGGAGTTATAGCGTATCACGACTAGATCACGGAATGAATGCACCTCCGTCAATGCAAAGAATTCTGAACCACATGACTAAAAGTCTCTAACGACTAGAGGTTAAGATAGTCGCGGGGACAACCGGATAAACTGTACATACCTACGTCTATCAGTCCAACAGTCGGAATCTTGATGGACTAATGCTCTCTCGGTTACGTTACTCCTAGCTTTCACCCAAACTAAACCTACATCAAGATTGGATTGGCAAGCCATACGTAGAAGTCTGAGTATAACCTCAGAATTGGTAAATACCAACTAAGCTTTCTGAATTCGTGCGCGGATTCTGTCAGACACGGACCAGTCAGAGTTGATGAGCTTTTCAGGACAAGTCAATCAGTCGACATACTCAATTATTTCATTCCGTTATTACTTCAGTTCGCCATAAGCTCCGACCAGACTAGTAGTGTTCGAGTAGAGTCAATACAAGGCTGGTATATTTCTTTAGTAAATCTTCTAGTGACAGGAACTATCAAAAAAACCTGGCGACCTACGAAATAGGACGTTGCCTTATAGTCGAGAAATAAAGCGATGATTGGGAGTTGATAAGTATCTGTGTTCCAGAACCATTAGAGGAGAATATTTGGTCAACATATCCAGGTTCACGTATGAAGCCAGTCTGGTTTTCTCGAGGTTACTTTATATAAGTCTCAGTTAAGTGCTGGATGATTATTGAGTTTAATATTATATAAACTGAATTAGTCAAACGGATTCCTCTGCGGTTATTACACTAGGGACTGGAATGATCAGCAATCAAGACTAATCAACGGGATTATGTTCGGAGATTCTGTTGATTTAATAGCTAAAATTGGACGACCATTCTTAGAGATCGCTGGGGTTACTTCACTTAAACCTACTACTCTCTCTCCCTTTACATTAACTATGGTTTTTCTACCTCATCATTTGGATAGTACATGTATAGTACACACACTACAGATATCCTATTCACGTTGCCTGACAAAAGTAGGAAATTGGAGAGCACCTAAATAACAGTTAAACTATTTTTCAAAGTATTATGCCCATTGTACTAGTCTCTTGGGTTATGAGTGGGTTATTATCCCACCATTTCCAAAAATGGTCTCACTAATTCCCATGTTTTTATTATCTGGTTCTTCGATTAGTTTAAAAGGTTGTCCACTGTTGCCTATCCTTTCAGCCTTCTCTATTGCTTTTGCTTCTATTGCCCATCACTATTCACAATCATTGCATAGAAGTATTGTTAGTCTGTACTTAAGTTGCCTTCGCTTCCCAACGGATAGCGCACAATCGACCGTCTACTGGGGTTCAGACTAACAGAACCTGCTTTGCCATTCAGTTTAGTGCCATACCTATCCTAGCAAGGCCATAAAAAGTTTCAGTTAGGTCTCTATATACATGAGGGATAAATTGGGCCAGTTTATTGCACCAACTAGGTGTGGTTCGGGTTTGAGGTTCGAATTCTGCCGAACTTAGTTTCGTTTGGATAAACGGGTAGGACCATTAGTTCTCACTTAGGTTGTGGTTAGTGAGTTAACATAAATTTGAACGATCACATTTGGATCATGTAGAAGTGTTTCAGAGACAGCATAGATTCATGGAACCGGATTCTAGAATCCGGGTTAATAAAGCTTGTCGGCTTACTTCGCATTATTTTCGGACACTGGAAGGTCCAACATGTAATTTAGGTGGTTTCAAGAGATCAAGAATAACATTTCGTGAACTCAAATAGTTAGAAATGGTAGAGCATGAGGACAAAGTCACAGTAGAAGGGTTAATATTTAGGATAGAAGGAATAAGAGGTGCTGAAGGGATTTGATCATGAACAATAGGATTTTTATTGCAGGTATGAGGGCGGTTACAACTTCCTGAATGCCTACACCATGAAAGGATGTTTCTTCTTGAGGGACTTGAAAGGAAAACTGAACTGGTAGTGGTTGTATCGGCCTGGGAATGTGACTGCACAGTTCGCGAAACAACATCTTGGGGCCAGTTAGACATGGCTTATCTGTGAGTTTATAATATGTTAACTTCGTGCGTTAAAAGGTATCAGAAACAGAAATCTTCGGGGTTAGGGTGGGAATGTGAAAATATAAGGGTCAACCTTCTCTAACCCCTTAATTTCGTTGTGGGAAAGGAAAACTGCTTCAGATGCTGGTTGTCTGCGAGAAACATCTTCTTGTTGTTACGCTCAGTACAGTTAGAATTAAGACACTCCTTGAGCAAGGAGTTCGCTGCTTTAATTCTTAATGTTCACCAAAAAACCTGCTTAGTATGGTAAGGCCTAAAGGAACAATAATTCCAGCTAATATGGCTCGGTTGAGTCATTACAATATACAAGAGAAACCAGCACATCAAGGTAGCAGCCATGGTCTTAAAAACCGTAATAAATAATGAGATAGTTTTTCACCAGAGATAGTGACATGAGATTAAGTTATCGAGTCAATTCCTGATTCCAAAACCCGAACTTATTATTAGGTTAAGAATCTCCCTGGTTTTTTGTGATGAGAACTAGAAAAAAAACCTACTGACTTTATGGTACACGAAAATAATATCTTAAGATTGGACACCAGACTATTTGAACATCTGTTTAGAGAGATTTTAATAAAAGCTAAGTCAGTCAGTCAGATGCAATGTAGAACTTGGTACGTAAGTACATCAGTTCATGTTGCCATACCACATTAGCACAGAGATGTAATTGTCAATTCAAATCCAATAGTAGTAGAGGTAGTAAGGGAATTAGAAGTAATCGGAGAGGTTAGGGTTAGAAGATACTATTCAAGAAGTATAATTCAATGAGAAAAGTTTAGAGAGTCGAAACTAGAGGTGTTGAAGAATCCAGAAGATTAGGGTTTGAGAGAACACAAAGAATAAATGCACCGGCGCCATTGCGAAAGATTTTGAGCCATGTCATTCAAGGTCTCTAACCATCGATTATTATCATCTCGCGGACCCCAACCAGGTAGTCAACAATTACCGACATGGCTCAGTCCACTTGTCAATGACTTCATGGATTTCTGCCACGTTTTGGTCTGGCCGCCCATAACTTTCTTCCAACCTACTCCTACACCACAAAACAAAGCTCGACGAGGCAGTCGGTGGTTCGGCATACGCAACACATGTCCCAACCACCTCAACTGATGAAGTTTCACCACTTCATCGATTGATCTGCCATCCTTGCCTAGTACTCGTTTCCTAACGACAGCATTTCTTACTCGGTTGTCCCACGGTATACGAGCAATGCTTCGAAGACACTTATGATCGAAAACCAGTAACCTACGAATATCTTCTACTCTCACTGGCCATGTTTCACAGCCATATAGGAGAACGGAGCGAACTGCTGCACAGTACACTCGTCCTTTGATTAGAGAACGGATATCACGCCTACGCCATAAGTGACGCAGGTTGGCAAAAGCCAATCGAGCCTTCTGTATCCCAACTGAGATTTCGTCAGTCACCAGGCCATCGGCACTGATGAGACTCCCAAGATAAGTGAAGCGGTCTACTCGCTCGACTACTTCACTCCCTATCACTAGTTCAGGTGCCAATGCAACCCAGTCTTGAAGCAACATTTTGCATTTCGAGGGGGAAAACCGCATCCCGAACATGCTTGCATTGTTGCTTATGGTAGTCAGAAGACTCTGCATTTTGTCAGCGTCTTCACCAAGTAGGACTATGTCATCGGCATATTCTAAGTCAATAAGCGAGCCACCTGGTAGAAGGTCTACTCCTGAAAATTCAGACGAGGATAAGGTTATTTCTAGGAGCATGTCTATGATAAAATTAAACAAGAATGGAGAAAGTGAACATCCCTGACGGACACCACTTGATGTAGAGAATTCCGGTGACAGTTCGCCATAAGCTCTCACTCGACCAGTGGTGTTCGAGTAAAGGGCTTGTATAAGGTTAATGTACTTCTTTGGTACACCTTTCAATGACAGACACTGCCACAGAACCTCACGATCCACAGAGTCAAATGCCGCCTTAAGGTCCAGGAAAACAACTATTGTAGGACGCCTAAATGTGTGTCTATGTTCCAGGACCTGTCGTAGTGTGAAGATGTGGTCTATACAACCACGTCCAGGTCGGAAACCAGCCTGGTTTTCTCGAGTCTGCTCTTCACGAGCTTTCGTTAAGCGTCGAAGTATTATTGAGGCCAATATTTTAGATACTATATTAGTTAGACTTATTCCCCTGTGATTGTCACAAGAAGACTTTTGTCCTTTCTTATAGATTGGGACAATCAAGGATTGAGACCAGTCGGATGGGATTGCGTCCAGTTCCCAGATTCTACCTAAGATCTCAGTCAACCTAGCTGCTAAAACTGGACCACCATCCTTAAATATCTCAGGGGTCAGTCTATCAGGACCTGCAGCTCGTCCTCGTTTCAGATTTCCTAACGCTTTCTCAACGTCATTAAGACTAGGGGGACTTACGTCGATTTGCCATTCAGGATGACTGGAGATCGTGGGTAACCGAAGAGTGGCTCGTGGCCAGTTGAACTGATCCCTAAAGTGTTCTGCCCATCGATCCAGTCTCCTGGATTGAGAATGGATAATAAGACCATCCTTTTCCGAGATAGTCTCACTCACATTCGGGTTCTTAATACCAGTTTCTTTAATAAGGCGGAAAAGTTGTCTACTGTTGCCGATCGCCGCTGCCTTTTCCATCGCTTTTGCTTTCGCCACCCACCACTGTTCGCGGTCGTTACGCAGACTTTTTATAAGTCTGCGCCTAAGCTGACTACGCTCTTCATCATGCTCAGAGTCAGGTGGGATGCGTTTTCGAGCATCCATCAGTTCGGTGGATGCGACTGATATCCACGGCTTCATCCTAGCCTTATGGTTTACCTTACTAGCAGATATCACTGCTGTTTCCACAGCCTTTTTGATATCATACCAACCTGCTTCTGGATGGGAATCACTTACATCGTTGCTTAACTCTCTTTCTAGTTGCTCCTGAAATATTTTCTTAGTTTGATTATCATTAAGTAAAACCCTAAGAGGCTTCCTTACGGTGTCTTTCCTACGTCCAGTAAGCCTCAAACAGATACGAGCTCGCACTAGAGCATGATCTGAATCCAAACATGTGCCCCAGAACGAGCGACAGTCTTCTATCGAACCCCTCCATCGGTGGCTGATGGCGATGTGATCTAGTTGAGTCCAACGTTGAGACGACTTCGGGGGTCGCCAGGTCAACAGATGCTTTTCCTTGTGCCTAAAGTTGGTGTTCGCTAAGAATAGGCGGTTATCTGAGCATAGTTGCAACAGACGGTCGCCATTGTCTGTTCTCTCAGTCGCTACACCATAACATCCACCTAGATGTCTTTCCTTTTCACCTAGTCTACCTACTTGAGCATTAAAGTCACCAGCCATTATTACTATATCAGAGCGCCTAGCTTTTTGGAGGAGGTCCGAAAGCTTTCTGTAAAACTCGTCTTTAACCTCGTCTGCACTGCAGTCAGTGGGGGCATAGGCAGATATGACGAAGAGGCAACGGCGAGTGTCCCTATCCTTACGAGTCCTTACTGTCCCGTTTAGTCGGACAGCGCACAAACGACTATCTACTGGGATCCAGTCTAGGAGAGATAATTCTGCCCTAGGACTCAACGCTATGCCTACGCCAGCAAGACCCCTGGAAGCAGCATCAGGGCTACCGGATACACGAAGAGTGAATCGGGCTGCTTCTTCGTTTTGACAAGGTGGAATCAGGTTAATGACTTTACTAGGATCCTGTATGCGCGTTTCTGAGACGCAGCATACATCGATGGCACGAGTTTCTAAAGTCCTAGCTAATGATGCCTGTTGCCCTATTTGACACAATGTCCGTACATTAAAAAGCTCCGACATGTAGTCTAGAACGGGGTTTCAAGAGACGAGGAACGACGTTTCGTGATCTCGCTTCGTCTGCATTAGCGGTGCAGTGAGAAAAGGGAGTGTGAGTAGAGTTAGTCGTAGAGATAAGAGAGACATTAGGGGGTGTAGGAAGGATTTGATTTTGACCAATTTGGTCTCGCGTGCTGTTACGGGTATGAGGGCGGTTGTCACTTCCCGGCTGCCCACACCGTGGAAGGTTGTTTCTTGAGGGACCTGAAAAGGAAGATGGATTAGTGTTGGTGCGTGACCGCAGAGCCCAAGGGACAACTGCTTGAGGCCGGTCACGCACGGCATTTTTATGAAAGGTATTTAGAGGATTAGCTCCGTTCTTAAAGGCCCTTAGTGGGCACCCTTACCCAAGGAGACGGAAATCCGTGAGTTAGGGGAGGTGTGACATTTTTAGGGCCGACCTTTTCTAACCCTTCCTTCCTTGTGAGAAGGTAGCATCGCTGCAGATGCTGGTTGTCCGAGGGAAACACCTTACTGCTGTCACACCCCTCTGCAGTCAGCAGTACGACTTCGCCCTCAGACCTTGGGTAGCTGCTTTTAGTCTCATCGTTCTCCAATCGACCTGCCTGGCATGGTAGGACCTGCAGGAACATATGTTCCAGCCAGTATAGCTCGGTTGGGTCATCACGATAGGCAAGCCCGACCACCACGTCAAGGTAGCAGCTACGGTCGGGAACAAAAGCTAAGAGAAAAAGCCAATCCAAATAGAGAATAATGTTTTCATTAACCACAAACTCATCATTAACAAGAAATACTCTCATTGAGGTAATAACTAAAGAATTACTTCAATGCATTAGAAATACAGCTTACTTCTTCCCAAGATTCAGTTTCTTTAAATGTGCACAAAATTGAACGGTTCTCCATTGTCGTCAGACTCATTATACATCTATGGGATTGAAAGTAGAGAAGTGATGAATTTAGAGGCAATCTACGTGTTATACAAATTATCGGAAACCAACGCCGAAACGTCATCTGTCTTATTGCTGACAGATGAGTTTACTATATGTATTGGAGATTACATGAAAGTAGTGAGATGTGATATTAGGAACTAAAGTATGTGTTTAGATATGCTCCAGTGAAGATGCTACTTACTACGTATGTACTTGAATTTTAACCAGTAAGTTGTGTGCTCTAACCACCCGCAAAGTTCAATAGAATCTTACCAAGCTGCAAAATGTTGCACAGATGTTGCACAAATCACATGGGCAAAAGTCAATAAAATTAGCCCAGAAACTCAAGTTTTAGGGGGTACATATTTACGTCCGTTAAATATTTAACTGCAAGACATTTGAATTCGGATATATCTTGTAATTGTCTTATTGATATGAGGAACTTAGTGACCAGATCACTTAACCTTTATTGATTTCGTCAGTTTTCATTCTACTCTACAAAGTACAGAATAAACATAAAAAATTGATGCTTTCACACAAAGGATCCAGTTTGTAAACTGGTACGTAAAACCTTAACAGATTATTGTGTTACAGCAGCGGTTACTAGTTCCATATCAGATCATTGAATACAGTCTTGTCTAACTAATCCTGAGGATATGTTCTAAACAGGAAGAGATCGTTGTTCACGAAGTTAGACAACACAGGAAAAGTCTAAATCTTGAGCATTGTAACTAACGATTTTAATGGACACGGAACGTATTTCAAATTAGTACAAACCAACCTTTCATACTTATCAACTCCTCTTGGACTCCAGGCAACTAATCGAGCTCCATTCCTAAGATTCAACGAGTCTCGATTTATTTGTTCAGCGGTAAAGAGAAGAGACCTGTTTGCATTTTCTTTGAGTGAAAATTCTGTATTTATAAAGAATAATGAACAAAGAGATAAAATCATTGAGCTTACTTATTTCATCGTCGACTCCAGATCCTTTTGAAATACACTCACTATCAAGTTCAACTCTTAAAGAACAGCGAGTAGTAAAGTCAACTTCTCGAGCAATGGCCATCTTAAAACGGTCATCATGAAGTGAGAGCGAAAAACTCTATATAAGCGAAATAAAACTAAATATGTCAAGTGGAAGACATATATGACTCAATAAATAGAAAAAAATATAGAAACTTATCCAGATTATTGATTATTAACTTTAGGAATGAAGTTTATTAGAAGCTTTTAAAGTTCGTACAGGAGTATTGACAGAGGATGGCTGAGAGAACCCACTGAGAACCTGGATTAATGTAAAAACCGTGCAGTCTTACAATGGCTGGTTTTGGAAATCTGGTTTTAGTTTATCTGTGAGGAGAATATAATAAACATAAACCAAACGCTTTTCGAATTATTTAACAAAAATGATCCGAAATGCCATTGTGGCTAAGTGTAACCCCTAAAAACCACTACCGCGTCACAAAACTATTGACAACACAGATTCCAGAAGTGAATACGATAGAGAGCAACATAAACCAAAGGGCTGATTGAAGAATTAGGTTCTGGAGTTAAAAAAATCAAGTAAATAGTTTAAAGGACCACAGTAAAAAATTAGGTAAAAAAACCAGTCGATTTGAACTTTACACTACATAAGACAAAAACTGAACGGTTTATTACTACTTTGTCTCAAAAGTTGCTTACTCATTTAGACGTACATATATCACCAGAGTTAAAGAAGAAAATATTATTAAATCTATATGTTATTACTGACATCCTATCATTTAACTATCAAATTAACAGTTTTCTGTGACGAGGCTTTGGAAACGCAAATCAGTAACTAAACAGTTTATTCTTAAATAAATTGAGAACTCACCAAAACATACAATTTTTCGGATGTTGGAATAGCAATTTTGTCCTCCGAAGAACCTACAAATCCCCCAGTAGTACAGATGTGACCTTTTATAGATATAACAGCGGACGTCTTTGGTGAGATCGCAAGACTATTCGTGATTACCACCATATTCTAGTAGAGTTAGATAAAAAGTTGTTAAGTTGTTAAAAAGTGTACGATCGAGTAAAGTAAGCGCATATTTGTAAAAAGAGAAAGCCACTCAAACTATAGTTTATGGATGCGTTTTAGAATGAGACAGAAATGATGCAGCGGACTTTAATGGAATACTACTTAGTCAGACAGTATACTTTAGTTACAATGTCAACTGTTGGTATCTTTATACTTCAGTGATGCGAAGTGAACATGTTTATGGCGTCCAAAGCAAAATTTGACTAGATTGGGCAACCTTCCTCTACACTATTGATTGTGCCGATATACAACTATCATTTAAATGATATGTACAGTATGATGAAGACAGATGCTACCAGACTAAAGTTGCGATGTTTCTTTGGAAGGATTTACACAAAATACCTTAAGTGCAGATTGACAGATAGCTCAAATCCGCATACCCTTGGAAAGTCAGATCGTTTTTGCAAGGATTTAGGCTTCTTTAGCAGACTTCTCAGAGTCTAAGCAATTACCGAAACACCATCACCAACATGAATTCAGAGTGCATTTTAAAACGGCCTATCAATAATCTTGCATTTTAGTCAGAAATAGATGAACTAGAACAGGTCCTGAAACTTACAAGATGCACTTGTATTATATAATTTGTTAGTGCCCTTGGTGAACCTGTGAATCCCCAGAGGAAAAACTAATATAGATTTAAGACTAATGTAAAGTTAAATGCCAACATTTTAGAAACATTACTAAATGCACTTTGAACGAAATGTTTATAATGGTTTGTTCCAAATTTTCAAGTCCATAAATAATAATTACAAACTATAAGTAACCTGAATGTACAATTTATTTTGGGATCTCGATCAATAAGGCATCTACATAGAAACTTGACACCTAACTCTAGTTAGTGAGGCAGAGAAGATACCAGTAGTCACGTTTACTTTATCGAAGTTGGAGAATACTAACTTTAAGCACGAACGCATCACCTTTCAAATATCAACTTTGGGAGTTCCCCACCCAGCTTGATAGTAATTTTTCAGTAAAACTTAATTGGATATAGAGAATCAAGATGTACAGAACTAAGAAAAACCCAATTTATATTTGTTTCCAATGATATGAACAGATACCTACAAAGCATGACCAGATGTTTGGATGAATGAAAAGTTAGGTTTCGGCTCAAATCAGCCGGCTTATCTGTTTCCACGACCTTCAGCGTCTGTGCACGAGGTGAATGTTTCGTATTTAGATCACTTGAGGTGAGCTACAAGTGTGTAAAAGTGTCTAAGTCTGCAATTTTCGCATGATTAAGCAGATTATTTGCGTGCGAAAGCCTTAACTGTTGTTGAGAATCATTTTCCAATATTCAATATCTTTTCCACGAGCTAATGTAGACCTATTGCTTTCTTTGCTCTCGATTCTTAATCTTTCGGTACGGCTCCCGGTATTTGACGGTGTCCAGTGGATGGTGATGTAGCAACTTGGCCTCACCAATTCCAGTCAGTTGGCAGCTGTTAATGAATTTCTATTTCCCGTAATTTGAGTGCGTAAGAATTCTGGATACTAAAAGCGATCATATTACCAGGCTTAAGACCAGTTAGTTGCAATGTGCAGAGCAAGAAAGAGATGTGCTGCTACTAGACGACACTACAGAAACTTGTGCACTAGTATCTACTAGGTACCTGACGTTAATGTGAAAATCGTGCTCGTGAAATATATGACAGACCTGGGGTGGAGACCGACGAGTACGGCTGAATTTACTGGACGGCGTTCTTATTTCCCGCTTTGTGTCAGCATGGAGCTCGACGATGAAGGCTTGGTGAAAACAGAAAAGGCAAGTGCTCGATTGCATATTCGCCTTTTGGAGTGGCTTGGAATGTGCTCGTATGTAGACAGAAGGACCTACAGCCCTACGTGATCGTAATTTGGCTCGAGCGACATGAGGTGCTGGAATGGCGTCACGGTCTCGGAATTCGGGACGACTATGAATAAAACCAACCCGATCCATTTGAGCTGGAGGGTGACCAGCGTCAAGTTGCATAAGGATTAGCCAATCGAGTTATCAATAAAAAAGTGATGCAATTAAAATAAGAGAGAAAAGAAACCACTCACAGGAGTGACGTAATAAGTTGATGCTAAAGTAACCATGGAAAATGAAAGAATTACACCTGCTTCCCTTTGGATACATAAGTCTGGCTTGAGGTGTTTGACGAATATGCTTTGGCGGACTTGCGAAGAAAGGTATTCAGATGTTGGTTGATGATGATGATGTTGGTTGGTGATACCGAAACAACACATGTAGGTGAGAATATTGCTTTGGATTTGGTCGTCATCAATCTTTAATATTTATATGAAAATGTTAGACCAATCAAGGCAATTTGAGTCAATAATCACGTTGAAATAGATTACATCACTACACACAACAGGTAATCATCGTCTTTCATCATCAAGAGTAACGAAGACCTTCGTACGAACGTACGTACATCAGTTCAAGTTGCCAGATCACATTAGCACAGAGATGTTATTGTTAATTCAAATTCCATAGTATTAGAGGTACTAGAAGTATAGGCAGCAACCGGAGAGATAAGGGTTCGAGGATATTATTCAAGAAGTAGAATTTAGTCAAATAAACTTAAAAAGAAAAAGATAATGTGATGAGCAATTACGAAGGTTAGAATTAGAGAGAACGCAAAGAATGAATGCACCTGCACTATTTTAAACGGTTTTGAGCCATGTCATTCAGGGTCTCTAACCGTTGATTACTATCATCTCGCGGACCACAACCAGGTAGTAGACACCTACCAACATGACTCAGTTCAGTTGCAACTGACTTCATGGATTTTCGCCATGATTTGTTTTGGCCGCCCCTAACTTTCGTCCAAGCTATTCCTACATCGCAAAACAGCTCGACGAGGTACTTGGTTGCTAGGCCTACACAACACATGTTCGAACCACCTCAACTGATGGAGTTTCAATACTTCATCTTTTGACCTGCGATTCTTACCTATGACCTAACCGAGCTATATTGGATGAAGCATATATTTTTCTAAATTCAACCATGCAAGGTAGGTCGATTGGATAAAGATGAGACTGAAAGCAGCTACCCAAGGTCTGAGGGCGAAGTCGTACTGCTGACTGCAGAGGGGTGTGACAGCAGTAAGGTGTTTCCCTAGGACAACCAGCATCTGCAGCGATGCTACCTTCTCACAAGGAAGGAAGGGTTAGAAAAGGTCGGCCCTAAAAATGTCACACCTCACCTTACCTCACTGATTTCCGTCTCCGGCGGTAAGGGCTGCCAAATAAGGACTTTCAAGAACGGAGCTAATACTCTAAAAACCTCTCATAAAAATGCCGTGCGTGACCGGCCTCAAGCAGTTGTCTCTTTAGCTGTGCGGTCGCGCTTCTAGGTCGTTAAGGCCAACACTAATCTACCTTCCTTTTCAGGTCTCCCAAGATCACCCTTCTATAGTATGGGCAGCTGGGAAGTAAGATTGGCCCTCACACTCATGAAAGCACACGAGACCAAATTGGTCACAATAAAAATCCTTTCTATACCTGTTAGTAACTTTCACATCTCCTCCTTCGATCGCTTATCACCTCACGAAACATTATTCCTGGTCTCTTAAAACGCAGTACTAAATCACACATAGGGGCTTTAAACTTTCGGACCCCATGCAAAGTAGGGTAACAGGCTCCATTTGCTAGAACTCTGGAGTCGATGTATGTTGTGTCTCCGTGGCCTCGCCGGCGTAGGTATAGTATTAAGTCCCAGGGCAGAATTAGCTCTCTTGGACTGGATCCCGGTATACAGTCGCTTATGCGCTGTCCGGCTAAACTGGACGGTACGGACTCGGGAGGATACTGACACTCACTGTTGCCGCTTCATCGTATCTGCCTACGCCCCCACTGACTGCAATTCACTGGAAGATGAGTTCTAAACAAAGCTTTCAGACCTCCTCCAAAGTGTTAGGCGCTCTGATATAATAATACCGACTTTGAATCTCAAGTAGGCAGACTCTGCGAAAAGGAAAGACACCTGTGTGGTTCTTATGGTGCCGCGGCTAATATAACATGATGGCGACTGTCTGTTGCAGCTATCCTCAGATAACTGCCTATTCCTAGCAAACACTAACCTTAAGCATAAGGTAAAACATCATTTAACCTGGCGACACTCAAAGCAGATCCAAAGATGGACGCGAATAAATAACGTAGCTGTAAGCCATCGGTGGAGGGCTCTGTTGAAAACCGCCGCCCAGTCTGGAGCACTTGTTTAGGCTCAGACCATCCTCTAGTGCAAGCGAGTATTTGTTAGCGCCTTACAGGTATCACGAAAAAAATCGGGAGGAAACCTGTTAGGGCTATACGCACTGATGAAAAGCTATGAATATATTTCAGAAACAAGTAGGAAAACAGTTACGTGACCATGTAAGCGATCCCCCTCAGTAGGCAGCTTGGAATGATATCGAAAAGGATGTTGAAACCGAAGTGTGGCTGAAGGTCAGTTTAACTGGTCCCTGAAGTGTTCTGCCCATCGATCCAATCTACTGGACTGGGAGTGAATAAAACGACCATCCTTTTCCGAGATAGTTTTACTCACATTCGGGTTCATAATACCGGTTTCCTTGATGAATCTGAATAGTTGCCTACTGTTGCCAATCGCAGTTGCCTTTTTCATCTCCCTTGCTTTCGCTACCAACCACTGTTTGCGGTCGTCGCGTAGGCATCTTTTCAGCCTGCGCCTGAAATGACTCCACTCCTCATAGTACTCAGAGCCAAGCGGAATGACCTTTCGAGCATCCGTCAGCTCGGTAGATGCTACTGAAATCCACGCCTTCTCCTCAACTTTACGGTTTACCTTACTAGAAGTTATCACTCATGTTTCAACATCCTTTTCGATATCATTTCAAGTATCAGTAACTTTATATGTATATATGAGTATTCTTTTTAATTTTCGCAGACATCTACAAAGCAAGCTAATGTATTGAAGAAACAAACGAAAATCACACTATTTCCTTTGTCAAAAGTAGAATCTACTATAGTTTAACAAATCTTTGAAAGAGCAGAAGGAGACTCAATCAAAAATCTACTTTTCAAATTAAGTGGACAGGCTGATGATAGTTTTAACAAACTTAGTCTCACTATTGAAGATTAATACAAACATAGGACGATGGACTGTTTTCCGATATATATATATATATATATATATATATATATATATATATCAGTGGTAAATTCATTGAGTACAAAATGCTCTGCGTAAACTAACGAATTGATTTCAAAAAAGAGAAATCTTATCATACTCGCACACAGTATCGTTATACTAAGTCAATTTGAATACTTCAAAGACATGCAACAATCCACTGAGTAACTTAATTCACAGTTTACCAACCCATCAGGTTATTTTACAAGTAAAACTTTACTAAAACAATTTTATTCTAAATTATTTATAAATGAGATTCAAAATAAATTTTTAAACAAAAAAAAGAAACCATGACATTTACAATATTATTATTAGAAAAGAAGTCAATAGAAAGGACAACTCGCAACAACAATAACAACAGAAAAGTAATAACATTTAATAAATAATCAGATCATCTGTTAGACTGTTAGGACAAAGTGAACAAAAAGAACTTAATTCATTGTGACACCATATAAAGTAATCATGATGTATCATGTTATTATTATTATTATTATTATTATTGGTAAATAAAAGGAGATAACAAGTGTTATTTTTTTTAGAAAGACTTATGTTTGTTTACCGAATACAGAGAAGAAAAAGAAAGCGTAAAGAATTGAAGTCAATTAAAGCAAAACAATATTACCGGGTTGAGGTTAAGAAGAATAGTAATTTAATAAATAAAAAACAACAACATTAAGAAAAGTACATGATTATTCATACAATAGTATTTATTATCTAAAAACAGTAATAAAATGAAATATTATATATACCAATAGGACTTATTGAAAACAACAGAAATTACAGAAATTATCAAGTGTACAATTAATTTATTCACAAAAACAAACAGGAATATCTAAAAAAAACCTGTAAGGAAATTGTCATGCTTGTACACACATACACACACACAAATAAACAATGAAAGAATAAATTAATATTGCAATACAATGAATGATAATGAGAAGTAGGAATACAGAGGAGAAGAAAAAAAACAATCAGTCAGACAGTCAAAACGACATAGTTAATTTTAGCAACAATGAAGCCAATCACGAAACTTGGAACATTGTTTTTCTATAGATAATTCTTTGGAGAAATAATCACGTAATAATACTTGTTTCCAGAAAGCTTTTTGAAAATCACATAATTTCAGTCGCCAAAATGAATGAATCATATTTTCAACACTAGGACGTTCATCATCATTATCTTTGCTATGTAGACTTTCAGTGTCAGTTGTTGAATTGGACGAAGCAATGCTATAAGATCGTTCAACTTTTTGTAATTCTTGTGTGAACAATTCCAAGAATAAACAATTAACTGAATCTAACATTTCTTCTTTATCTTCGTCTACATTTTCTACAATGACTCTTATTGTCTAAAATAATAACAGTGGTGAAAAAAAAGCAAACGCATGAAATATGCATTAGGCTGTTTTGAATAAGATGAAAAAAAAAACAAGTGAAAAAGACTTAAAACAAACTAGAGTGAAATGTTATTCATTAACTATCATGTACGCATTGTGTTTACAGGTCCTACTGTTCATAAAAACTCTAATTGTGGTGTGTGCTACTTATACGAACGATATAAGTAGTATAAGAAGGGACCTGAAAGAAGAAGTCTAAAGGTCAGAAGAGGAAAACGGAAAGCAAATGGAGCAAAAGCAAGAAGTAAATGGAGTACCAACGGGAAGGAAAGGAAGCAACAACAGGAATGGAAGAAGGATGGAGCGTTGGAAGTCACGACTCAAAGATGGTGAGCAAATAGAGTGTTCAATGTAATGTTTTCGTTTTTAATTGATTAAGAGTGTAAATTTGCATAATACAATCTTCTGCGCCTGCCTCAGTCGTCTCATAATGATTAGTAAATAATTTAAACTTGTGTCTTACTGATTAAACTCTAAGTAGCAGGTAGTTGCATAGTTGAAGTATCTATCCCAATGGTTGAATGAGAGGATCTTATAATCGTAGCATCTGAGAAAATTATTTCAAATAGCTGTTCTTTTGAATATTTAGTAGAGGGGAGAGAGTTATCTTTTACAAAAATGCGCAATCAACTTGCTAAATGCTTTGAGAAACCAAATATAACTACAAAAACTAAGTATCACATACTTTGTTTTGATGAACAAGTTGAAAACCAACTCATATTTTCGTATTCATTAAAAAGAGCATATTGGCTCATTACAAACAAGACCATTCACACAAAAACACTGAATACGTGGTGATGATAAGAGTACACACTATAAATTATTTGAAATTTTAGTTTTTGAAATTATTTTCCGTCGGATTATCTCATACCATCACTACACACTAAAAATTAATCTGAACTCTTTACCTGAAGAAAAAAGAGTCATGCAACAATCAAACTTCAACTGCCCTTTTTATATTAGCAAACGAAGTGAAAGGGGTTGAAATTCTAATAGTCAGAGAATTGACTACTTACCTCGGTTAAACATTGAAATTGACTGTAATTCAATGAAATCTGTTCACTTAGATCTCTTGAACTGTATTTATTGCTGATAAAACCTAAAGGATCTGGAATAACAATTGGAGTATTATCGTTCTCTTCTTGGTGCACTTCTGACGTGTGTCCAGAAACATGAGTTTTTGACAATTTATCATTTTTATTATTATTATTATCCACAGTGTGGTGTTGTTCCATACACTCTTCAGCGATAAGATCAGTACCTATTTCTACTGTTTCAAAATCGGATTTGGAACAAATATGATAACCGTCAATACTTGTATTACAAGAAATAGAATTATTACTTTCTTTTTCAATGTTGTCAATATTGTGAAATGACAATTTGCTACTTAGTGTATTCCATTTTGATTCACTTGCTTGTTCAGATGGAACCCAGTAGGGAGGTCGATGTAATAAGAATAATAAACGTAGTTTTGTATTTAAATCATGATTACATATACACTCCATTAGCCATACAAAACTCTAAACAAATAAAAAGTAGGAGATTGCAGAAAAGAATTGTTAAACATTTATTGTTTGCAAAATAAAGTATTTTTAGAGAAAAATTGATATACTGAATATTTTATAAATCGACTAAATTATAAATGCACTTAATTGGTACTTCCTTCTCAGAAGCCGTTTGGGTTTGTGTATTAGTATTGGACAAAGCGCAAATCAACCCACAGTATAAATGATGAGGATAGAATAAAGTAAGTGAAAATATCTTGCACTTCCTTGGTAAGCCTCTCTCAGTGGCAAACAATGATATAAAATCACTTGGTTGCCGGGGGTAGAATGCTACTTTAGGGTTAAGAAATACAATTATAGTTGAGCACTAGTAAATACGCTTGTGTTCTAAAGCATGAATGTTTGATCGATAGATCAGCGTCCAAGTTTTAAACTAACGTAACTCTCCCGAGTTTGTTCTTAACGAACCTCACTTGAGAATTGGATGGTTATAGAGGTTAGAAATGTAAAAATTAGATTATTCAAACTGATTTATAAGTGGTTATCACAAGACGATTTGTGTTTTTTCTTATAGCCTGGAATGAATATGATCGGTACAATTCTCAAGCACTAGCTAGCACTTCAGTTAATCTAATAGCTTAAAGTGGACCAACATGGTTAAAAAAACTCCAGGGTTAATTCGGAGAATAATTGTAATCATGATTTCGACTATATTTCGTATTTTAAGAGGATTGGTGATGATTTTCTTGTGTAATAAACTGTTAAGGTTAGCATGATAGGGTTTAGGAGTTTTAGGATTAGGAATTAGGTTTTAAGGCAAATAAATAGGAATCGGAGTTAGTATTAAGCTAGGTTACAGTTCAATGATTTCAAGCCTAATTTATGGATAGTTAGCCTTAATACGTTCGTTATTCCTGTCAAAATTCAGTGACTTTATCATTTTTCTGTGATTTAAAGCTCTTATAAAAAGCTAGATTCTCACTGGGTAATCCTCAAATCACCCTTAAAATCGTACAAGTCTAAATAAATACTCCGAGGATAACCCAGATATGGTAATCCTAACACAAAATGAATATATTTACCTATTATTTCAACTTCTTACCTTAAAGTTAATAAGATTATCTTCATCTTGATCTAACAGATGAAAACATGGGAAGCCTAAACGAAATGCAGCAGCACCCCATGGAACTAATCCTTTAAATAGACTATTAAACTGATATGCGTTGATTCGATGTACATCATACGCTGGACGATTTGGATTATTTGTTTCACTATGAGTTGTAGCTGGATCTATTTGATGGATTCGTTCATATTTCGAAAGAATATAATGATCCTACAAAACAAATTTATTATCAGGATTATTTATTCTAAAACAATAGTACAATGATGGTAACATTTTGTGTGATGTTAATGCTACAATTATGTAACACTTTTATAAACACGATAATGGATAACTGGGTTGCATCGGCAACTGAACTAGTGATAGGGAGTGAAGTAGATGAGCGTGTTGATCACTTCACTTATCTTGGGAGTCTCATCAGTGCTGATGGCCTGGTGACTGACGAAATCTCAGCACGGATACAGATTGCTTGATTGGCTTTTGCCAACCTGCGTCACTTATGGCGAAGGCGAGATATCCATTTGCTAACCAAAGGACGAGTGTGCTGTGCAGCAGTTCGCTCCCTCCTACTATACGGATGCGAAACATGGCCGTTAAGAGTAGAGGACTTTCGTAGGTTACTAGTCTTCGATCATCAGTGTCTCCGGAGCATTGCTCGTGTATCCTGGGACAACCGTATAAGCAATGCTGTCATTAGGAAACGAGTACTTGGTAGGGATGGCAAATCAATAGATGAAGTGGTGAAACTTCATCAGTTGAGGTGTTTGGGACATTTGTTGTGTATGCCTAACCACCGACTGCCTCGACAAGCTATGTTTTGCATTGTAGGAGTAGATCGGAAGAAATCTAGGGGCGGCCAAACCAAAAGATGCCGGAAATCCATGAAGTCACAGACAAGGGGACTGAGTCATGTTGGTAGATGTAGACTACCTGGTTGGGGTCCGTGAGACGATAGTGACCGATGGTTAGAGACCTTGAACGACATGGCTCAGAATCGTTTGCAATGGCGCAGGTGCATCCACTCTTTGTGTTCTACGAAATTCTAAGCTTCTGCATTGCTCATAATCTCTACCTTTCTCCTTCTAAATTTATCTTACTGAATTATACTTCTCAAATCATATCTTCGCTTCCTAATCTTCTCCATTACTGCTAATACTTCTATTATTGCTATCACTTTTGGATTTGAACTGACAGTTGCGTGTCTGTGCTGATGGGGCATGGCAACCTGAACTGATGTACTTACGTACGAAGTTCTGCGTTGTATCTGTCTGTCTGTCTTCGGTCACAAAAATATGATAATCAATGAAATATTGTATTTATACGCAAACCAGTAATCAGGTGATAGGTTCATTCACTGGGCAAGTTGTGCCACAGTTAAATAACATTAAAACAAATAAACTGAAGTCGAGTTTTCAAGATCAAATTCTTTCACGTGAATATATATATATATATATATATATATATATATATATATATAGTACTTTTAAATCATGTTTTATGTTAAAATGTTCCGCAGTTGTTCAATAATTTATGTAGACTAAAATAATAGTTAAAAAAAATATTTTTTTTTCAAACGATTATTCACCGCGAAAAAAACTTACTCTGTAACATTCAAAAAGTAAAGTCATATCAGCATGGAATTCACGATCTAAACTTCTTAAAACCTCTTTAGAAATATAATCACTTAATGATTGAATTACTTTCGGTCGACACTGTAAACGCATACGATCGATAAGATCATTAGTAATATTAAAATTGCGATCAGCTGAAGCCAACAAATGATAGATTGATTCATTGGAATTAGGATCTTGATGATGATTTAATTTATTAAAATATGCGCTTAATTTAGTTAAAACACAACTATCATCATTGCTTTCAACAGCATTCTTAATAAACAATGTATGCTGGCGTAGTACATCTAATGCAATTTGAAAAATAATCTATTGAATATTAATAAGAGAAGTGAAACAAAAAAAATAAAGATTTCAGTGAGAAGAATAAAAAGATAAACTCGAAAATATGCATACGGTAAATGAAAAAAATTATTAATGAAAAACATTGGAATCAATAGTCAATTTGTTGGGGACGTTAGATCCCTAGAACTTGTTTGATAAATGTCCTAATTTTGGATTTTATGCATGGGACGATCAGTTGACCTTGAGATCATATTTCCCACCAGGAAAATCCTTGGCTGTGATTGGTTGATGTGTTATTTTAGTATGCTATTTTTGTAACTCTCCCAAGGACGTTTCTATGATGTATGAATAAACGCAATTTGTGTGCTTCAGTTCAATGTGTTTGCTCGGTGTTTGTAGAATACACTTTCTACGCTCTACTAATACTTTTTCATCAGTTAGTTTGGGGCAAGCGATCAGAGTAGCCTACCATGTCACTGGTTGATTGCCTCGTTCTCGTTCATTGACTAAGGTGAACTCGTAATAGTTTCAAGCATATCAACTGACGAGCATAACGGTATTTAGAAAAAAACTAACATCAACTTGAATAAATATTACAAAGATTATCGACAGTATACTTGTTTAACACAAAACTATTGAACAGATCAATGTTAACCATAAAAATTGACCGAATTTTTCTCACGTTAACTAAATCGAATTATTGTACAATACACAAAAATAAACACGGAAATATCTTAAATCATGTTAGGTCTTAAAAATGAATGACAATATAAACGTTAACTGTGAAGTATAATTTATTTACTAACAAATGTATATATACCAGTGGATTTTCTTTTCGGATTATATGAAGTCAATATGTTATTGATTGGTAATTAATGTTATGTCTGTTTAGTTTAATGATTACATTGCTATAAGGTTACAAGTCTAACTGACTGCAAATATCAAATACATTATGTGTTGATATGATAAGTTCATTGTCATAAGAATTCTATTGATTTTCCTTGAAAGTTTCATGTTTATTTATGGTTATGCAGTTTGATATACACTTATGAGTATAACATTAGCTTTTAGTGAAGTTATATTCCTTCAAAAGGCTCGGATCTATGCTAAAATATTTTGAAGTTTCTGCTGAGACTAGGGAGTGTTATAAAGTAAATTGAAAAGAAGTCTTGAACTTAAGTTTTATGCTGATAATCACTCAGCAGAGAAGCACATTTATTTATTTCGGAATACGAACTCATATAAAAGTGATATGCTCGTCAATTAATATGCTTGAAACTATTACAAGTTCACCTTACTCGGTAAACTGAGCGAAGACAAATGATACAGTGACACGATAGGCTATTCTAATCCGTTTGTCCCCGGTCCGGCTAACTATATCAATAAGTCTTGATAAGGCGTAGAAAGTGTATTCTGCATGCACTCAGATAATACGAGGTCGACAAGCACACAAATCGAGTTTATTTATACGTGATAGAAACGTCCTTGGGAGAGACACAAAAATAATAATACATCAACCAATGACAGTCAAGGATTTTTCGAGAGGAAAGTGCAATCTCAAGGTCAACTAAGTAGCTTAAGCGCGAAAACACAAACCCGAAATTAGAACCTTCTCCAAGTGAGTTCTGAGGATCTAACGTCCCCAACAAAAAGATATTCCCCTCCTAAGGTATTTGAACACTGTTTTTATCTAGTTCTTAGTACTGATAGAAATCTATTTTATAATTACCAAGGCTGCATGTTTATCACAATATTTTCATCAACTTTGTAGATGATTGATCAATTAATTAATGAAACCTAGTAGTTCACAATGTTTAGTAGAACTAATATAGCAACAAGTGAGATCATATTACTAAGTTAACTAGAATATGCAAATAAAAAATAAAGATTGTAAGTAGATTAATGAATAACATAAGTAATCGTGGTAAAAACCGATAAAAAAAAAAGAACTTACACGAGCGCCATCATAAAAGAAAAAATCCAGAACGTATACAGCACAATGAAACGACATTGTACTATTGTGAAGAAAAGTCAACAAAATACAAATTGATGTGAGGAAAAATAACACAACTAGTGTATATAAACGAAAAGATATTTGTAAGAAAATGTCAAAACAAAACTAGTGTAAATCAATTTTTATTAGAGTTAGATAATGGGATAACAATGGAATCTAGGACGTGCATTTAGTCCTATTTCGGACTTGTCCGTTGGATATGCTAACATCTCGGCAATGATACTAACAACTCCTAAATACAATGAAAGGAGTGTCCTGCACCATGACCCAACTTCAATAAAAACTTTTGTTGCGGCAGCCCATTCGGTATGCACACAAGCTAATATGGTAGTCTTTGACGAAGTGGAGAACAATAATACAAACTCATGCATACATGTAAAATCAACTCTTCATAGGTTTCAGTTGGTAATTAGATGATTTAATTTTAATCAAAGCTCAAGTTAATTTGCATGGTTATTAGAAATTTAAAACCATACCAAGAACTAGAAACAATCGTTGTTATAATCAGAAATTTCAAGATGAGATATATTTTAGTCATTAAACAGAGTAGAAAAATCAAAATCTTTTTATTAATTTATATCAAAAAGCAATGAAAACAATCAATATAATGTAAAATATAAATTTCATTAAAACTTATTTCATCGGTCAACGATCATGGCAATGAAAAACAAATATTGTAGCCCATTTTATCATTAAAAGATAATTTCAAGTTTACTTGCTGAGTTAATTGATGATTACAGAGACCAAGTCACTCATCGCGTGAATGTATAGAACAAATATGGACACATTTTGGCGTCCCGCAAAAGTTGCGTTCCTTGACCTTGGGGCGGCGTTCGAAGCTGTTGACCGAAAGGTTCTGTGGTAGTCGTTGTACGAAAGGTGTATGAAACAAGTACATTACCTTTGATTCCTAACGCTTTCTAATATCACTGATACCGTTATTACCTATACTAATCTGAGATTCGGCAAACGATCAAATTCTAGGTCGGTAAAACAAACTATTATTTGCATATGTAGATAGCCTACTTCAGTCCGAAGTTTGTGCTGATGAGTCTTTCTAGAAAGATCATGAAAGCTACAGAATTAGCCTACTTCAAATTAGAGAATGTAATCCAACCAAAAAATTTAACAAATCTTGACTATAATCAAAACTTACTTTAGAAATAACGTCAAAAACCAACTCAACGGTAGCATACTGATTAACTCTGAGCCTAATGACCGACACATTTGAAGATAATTAAAAGCTGGTGAATAACTGCCCACAACTGGTTCGATATTATATTCACTGGTGACACTATTCTTCAAACCATCTTGTGTTGGAATTTGTAAAACTGATTTTAATTCAGGAATATATTCAACAACTAAATCATGAAATACTTGTTGATCAACACGTATACCAGCAACTCGACTATCGTAGTAATCAGGCAATAAACGTTCACAAATAGCTGCCAGTAACCAAAATGATTGTTCTTCTGTACAATATAGTAATAATACACTAGCTACTATATTCATTGATTGACAGTATCCTGAAAGACAATTTTTTTGAAAAAAAAAAACAAGAAGTTTCTACTGTACTGTTTTGGTTGTAAATAAATTTGACAATCTTTCTCATTTTGTTACGAGATTTATACCGTTAAAAACTTTTAATTGTCATATGTCATATATATAGAACATATTATGAAAGGATTAGTTGAATAATTAAGTAAACTTCTAATATTATACAATCAGCATTCTAAATCAATCAAAATTTAAAAGATAGACAAGTCAAATTAGATTGAATGAATTACAGACATCGAAGGCGTTTATTATTTAAGTATGAGAGATAAGTTTGTGTACAATAGTGGGTTGCATAGATTGCTGAATCACCTACTATGTAAATATTAGGGAATATTTTCTTATTTCTGATTTATTTTAAAAAACTGCTTATGTATGCGCTAATTATAGAAAATATACTCATATATTTTTAATTAGCGCTTATAACCGATAATAAATATTGCAAACCTCAATGGAAGACATAGAAGTGAGTAATAAATATTCTTTTTCATGTATGTTATTAAAAGGAATGAGATGTAACTGATTTGGAATTCGTGAATTTAGGGAGTCAATACAAACAAGTACACTATTCAGTACATGTATCAGGTGATGGAAAAAGGTGTAGGAGTAGAAAAGATAAAAACATTTGCTTTTTATATAATTTTTGAGTCTTTTACAGTTAAAATGTGAATTTTACACATTTGAAATCATCAATCATCCATTGTTAGACCACCATTAGAAACCTGGGAGCACTGGACGGCTGTTTTGTCCTGGTACGGGACTCATCAGCAGTGCGCATCCACGACTCCTGCACCTCGCAGGATTCGACCCCGGGACCTTCGATATTGTGCGCGAACACCCAACCATTGGACCACTGGGCCGGCATCTAACAGTGTTAATGTCTAACTATGATTGATCCAGGGATTTAGGGCGTTCGCGCACAAAACCGAAGGTCCCGGGTTCGAATCCTGCGAGATGCAGGAGTCGTGGATGCGCACTGCTGATGAGTCCCGTACCAGGACGAAACGGCCGTCCAGTGCTCCCAGGTTTCTAATGGTGATCTAACAATGATTGATTGACGATTTCAAATGTGTAAAAACACTAATCTCCGTAACTCTAATTGAAAAAAAAATGTGAATTGTTGTACTGTTTTATCGTTAGTGATCAAAAATTAATTACTGAAATCAAACACATAGTAATACACAAAACGATTATAACTATTGATTGATTGATTGATCAATTCTGGAACGGAACAAAACGAATGTTCAACAGCTCTTGAAATCTACCTAACAGGACGAAAATATGACTTTGAAATATGCTATTTCAGTAGAATTCATTACATTGACTGGTGACAAATGGCATGTTCGTTTAGTTCTTAGTTTCTCTAAGCATTCTGTTGATGAAAATAATGAAAACAATAATCATTGTTAAATGATAGGTATTAAACAATACCAATGGAAATTATCTAATACGAAACATTTTTCATAATACTATCACCAGTGATTTCAATCTCCTTCATGGAGTTTAAATGAAAATCGAGCTATATTAATGTAAATTATTTGTATCACACAATTACATTGAAAACTGTTAGGGACTGATCTAAACACATTAATGTAATCTGAATTACTACTGTTTAGAGTCGATTGAATCTTGATGTTTATCATAAAATATCTAAATAGTGTTCTGTTCTGTTGGTTACACAAATTTGTATTTATGAGCAAGCCTTACATATTTAAGCTAGGAACATGAATTTTTGTGAGCACTTGATTTATCTACATGGTTAAATAGCATATTGGTATGATGATAGCTGATGCTCTCAACTCTTATTCCTCACACTGATTCACAACACTGTTAGAATTTTAATAAGGGACTGAAATTGTTCAAAGTCACTTTAAAATTGTTCAGTAAATTACAGCATGGTCACCTCTAACCGTAACATATTAACTTTCTAGAGCTAAGACTTTAATCTTAACATCTGAATTTTACCAGTCATAACACAAGTTATGTAAATTTGCACTCATATAATTTATTCAATCTTTAAAAGCATGAAATGTTACTATTTTAACTAAAAATGTCATCTATAATCAACCTTTTCACCAACACACAGTGTACCGCAAAACAATTCTATCTCCGTAATTGATATGTTCTTAGTATGACATTCGCTGATTTCAGTTATGTAAGACTTTATTTCTCACTAGTTTAAAGGTTTGTATGTGATATGTGATTAGATCATCATTCAAATGAACTAGAGTACGATATCTTGTCAGAAAAGTGACTTACAACAGCAAACTATCCATAACTGTGCTTTGAAAATTGCGCTGCAACTCAACATTCATCAATTTTGTTCCAACTGATTGTACTAAGACTGTAGGGTATGTTATATAATACAATCAGTTCACTTTCTTTACTTACACTGAAAAAAGACATTTGGAAAACTCACTATGATCTTTTATCACTAAGTAAGGTTGTTATCACTGAAGGTTCGTTATTTATATAAACCGCTTGACTTTTTAAACTACGATAGATTCAATGTTGTACTAGTAGATTCTGTGTGACCGAAATCGAACAAAATATTAGTAAATAAGTACAATAATTAAATAGTGGATTAGATTATTTAGTAAACATTTAGTGCATAATGAATTGTTAATAAACAACAATGTTTTTCAAAAAAATAATGGGTCGATTTCATTGACAAACAAACCTACCAACATTAGGATTACGATAAGCATAAGCAGTAAGAACACGTCGAAGAGACTCAATACCCTCTGGTGTATGATAAGCAGGATGTTCTGGAAATGAACGGTGTAAATCACGTTCAATTTCTTCATTGACAAAATTACTGCATCCCTGAACACCGTTGATTAATTTATCATAATAGCCTGGATTAGTGAACATCTATGAAATATAATTACAGATATAATATAAAGATTAATTAGATAAGAGATAATTATGTACGGAATTAAGTCAGCTTTTCAAACAACTGTATTTTCTGAAAGATATCAAATCATGCACTCCATTGATAAGCTTAGATTCAAACGACTAAGGAAACTCATCGTCTATTTTAGCCAATCCCACCTTACAATGAAAGTATCTAATTATGTTAATACTTTTTAAGTTTTTAGATTGACTAACCAATGCGATGTAGTAAGACAAAACCCTGTAGGTTTGTCTATTGGTTCCAAGGTATCATATTTCATATGAAATCAACACGTTGAAACAGGAAATTAGCAAGGAGTAAAACTAATAGAAGTTTTATCAATCTCGCATATTAATGATAATAATTTGATTACTAGCAACTAATTTCGACAGATAATTTAAAGAGTTATCATGAGAAGCTGTGACCACTGGAGTTCAATCATGTTGAGTGTGAATCAATTACCGACCAATGGCATCCGAAAATGTTCACACAATGTCATGAGTGGACTGAAATTAGAAGTGTATAGAAACTGGATGCAAAGCTAGAAGTTTAAAGGTTCAATGCTTGCCAAAAGATATAAAGGCCATAGGTTAGATCCGCGGTGGGATCATGAATTCACACTGCCAAGTAGTCGCGTACTAGGACGAGACTACTGTCCAATGTATCTTGATTTTCAATGGTTGTTTAACTAAGGCCGAACTGCGATGTAAACTATCGAAGAAGTAATAATGATAAGAGAAATCAAACGTAGAAACTATGATTTAAAAAGGGAACGAAATTGAAAAACTAAAAGTATAATGTAAAAACATTAAAATGTAAGATTTGAAAAAACGACTGATTTTTAACCACATAACTCGACTTCTTTCCAACTGTTAGTGAAGACTATTGCTCAATCCTTAAACGAAAAGTGTACAAGCTGCATACCAAGCAATCTTTTGATCTGTATGCATTATGCGGCTATTATGCTAATATTATTGGTGCTGTTAATCATAAATTTTTGTTATTAGGACTCGTTTGCTTCAGAAAAATTAATTTTAACAAATAATATCATTATTATAATATGAAAGGAACTATAATTAGATCACTCATTAATACACTTTTGGTGTATACGAACAGTCAGTTAATCAGCTACAAAGTAGAGCTTCGTACATAAGTACATCAGTTCAGGTTGCCATACCACATTAGCACAGAGACGCCACTGTCAGTAAAAATCCCATAGTGGTGGAGATTGCAGAAGAATTACTGGTTATGGAGAATATTAGGGATTGAAGATATTATTCAAGAAGTATAGTTCAGTGAGATAACTTTAGACAGAGAAAGATAGCGATGATGAGGAATTCAGAATATTAGAATTTGAGAGAAAACACAGAGTGGATGCACCAGCGCTATTGCAAACAATTCTGAGCCATGTCGTTCAAGGTCTCTAACCATTGGTGCCTTTCGTCTCGCGGACTTCAACCAGGTAGCCTACATCTACCAACATGACTCAGACCACTTGTCAATAATGACTTCATGTTTTAGGAAGAAAGAAACCTATCCAAAAAAATATTAATAAACCTAAATTCATGCGTCTAATCTGTTTTAACACACTTGTCCATCAAGTGAAAATGATTCACTAACCAAAACTTTTATTCATCAGAGAGAGAGAGAGTATGAGTGCAGCGATTACAATGACTGTCATCATGGAACGGGCAACAAAGAACAACCTAATATAACTAATTATTTTTTACAAGGATAAAATAATAACATAAATATGAAAAAGAAATGAAGCATGGGACCGGGAAGCAGTCACGTAACGTTATCTCTATAAACATGTATTTATATACATGTTTTGACTTATTTTACCAAAAAAAGTAAAAATAGAAACTATCTCTACCTATGTTTTCGCTCAATATTTTAAGTACTTACTTAACCTAATAATCACTTGAATAAAAAAAACAATTTAAAGAATACTTTTGAGTAATTCACATGAAAATGTTTCAAGTGGTTTATCACAATAAGTGGAAAGTGATTGAGACATGTGTGTAATTGATATTCTTCATCTTTTTTTTCTTAATTTATAAAACAATACACCCCATTTCAATGGTTACACATTTACAGTATCCTCATAGTATTGTGTTTTAATTTAAATATTTGTTATTCTATCTATAGTAAAATTTCACTCTTAATAATAAATGATTGATTAGTAATGACGAAGTAGGTACCTTTTAGATTTAATTGGTGAACAATGTTATTGTTTTCAATCAGATCGTCATCAGGCTTTACTCTCTAATATACATGAATATTTATGTATGAAAATGTTAAACTACTAATCAAGGCATTTTGTGAGTCAATAATCACAATGAAATGAAATAGATTACGTCACTCTACACATAACAGGCAAAAGTACAAGTTGATAATAGAAGGAAGACAGGCGAGTACTGATAGTAGTAAGAAAATTATAAAATATGATAACAAAAGTTTTATCAATAGTAGGTCAAACATGGATAAAGAGACTTAAAATGATCATTTTTTCTGTTATGTGTAATGACGTAATCTATTTCATTTCATTGTGATTATTGACTCACAAATTGCCTTGATTAGTAGTTTAACATTTTCATACATAAATATTCATGTGTATTAGAGAGTAAAGCATGATGATGATCTAATCGAAAACAATAATGTTCGCTTATGTGTTGTTCTGATTTTCAGTGGTAATCATTGATATTTAATTGGTAAACAATCGTTATCCCTAAAAAACACAACTACACTAAATAAATATTCGTTTTTCACAATTAATGTCAATTTTATGTCAGATTTGTGGTATGCTATGGCAAAGATAATTCAAGGTGTAAAAATCAATAAGTAAATGTTATGTGACTTTTGGTAATCAGTATACTTTTATCCAAACAAGTAGTCTATTCAATAATGAACACCCCGTACACATGAAATCTTATCTAAACACCGACAACGCTCCATACTTTCACCAACTGAATATTCAGTAAAAACAAAATGAGCTTATCAAAGTGACTGAATGACATTCATTAAATAAGAAATAATGGAGCAGAAGTTGTTACCTCATTTTCAGCTCCACTTAAAATCATCCACAAACTTCCTCGTTTTTCTTCAGGTAATCCATTTAATACAAGATGTTTAAGACGTTCATTTCGATACATTGACATACTGGAACCATATTCTGTAAAATATTTTTCCCAATCATTTAAACGTTTATTTTCAGCATCAGGATTTTGTACAGTGAAACGATTATTATTATAAGTGTAACGACTAGCAAAGCATCCGGACGCGTCTAATTGACAAAAACACACACAAAAAAACAATAAAGATGAATGAAACAAACTCATTGGGATATGTGTCGATGGAAATGATCGAAAGCATAAAATAAAGATGTATGCTGTTCAGCGTGTAAGATAATTATATTCAAATCAATAACAAATACACTAGGGAATGAAAGATACTACATTATATTTACTAATTTTGATAGTCAATTCTGTATGAATCTAAGAAAACCCAAACGTTAAAAAACACTGCCAGTTAGTTCTTTCAGGAATAATTTGACGCAATCTAGCAGTGAAAGGAAATCAATATCATCGTTTATACGCTACGTCGGTGATTATTTTACTTCTGTTCATACTACCAATTATATCTCGCCCCATTAATCAAATTATGAGGACATACAATGTTTGATAACCTTTATTGCTTAGTATAATTATTAAGGCTCTTTTCAGTTAGATATATTATCTTTATGCTCTTTCTAGTTAATCTCAAACTTTACCATAACTATTACAGGGATTTTTTTTACAGAGAATTTGATGAGTTTATAAAATTATCGAAGTTAGTTGGTCACAAAACGATTCAGTATATCTACGGCTCTTTGTTTCTATTTTCTTTCTGGTTGTAAATCATAGTAAGTGCTCTACAGTGGTGCCGAAACGGCTTCTGACTATACTACTCATAATTAAACATGACACTCCAGTTTTCTAATCAAAGATTACGGGTTTCCAGACAATCCCTTTAAATGATTATAATCTTTGTTATTGTACGCGAACACCTAATCTCTGGAACACTGAGCCGGTATCTAACGGTGTTAATGTCTAACTTGATTAATTCACGATTATAATCTTTGTGACAAAACCTTTCATGAAGTACATTTTTACGTGAAATTCATTCTCATCATTTTTCCTATACCTGTTTATATATGATCACCTATGTATCTGATCATGTCTGTATGCTGACAAGCATTTTGTCATATATATATATATTTGTCAAGCAGTGTTGTATGATAAATTTACCGTTTACTAGAGATAAAAATTGTTGGGAAAATAACATAAATCAGCTTCCTGTAAGTTTATATTTATAAGTACCTATGAGTTTTTCAGTAATGATAGAACATGATTAATGAACTTAAAAGTCGATTATGAAAAATATAACTAACGCATTCTTATACAATGACCAGTAAATCTAGGTCATCATAACAAATTTTGTATGTGTATAAACATATTGATTAGTTTAATTCACGACAAAACATTACTTGATTATATGTTCTGAATAGATTTCAATTATCTACACGTGAGTAGAACAATAGTCATTTTTTTTTGTATAATTTTCATTACAAATCCTTTTTTAGAGGATCAATATTTCAGATCACCTATCAATTCTAAGCAAATTTGATGACTAGATATAGTGAGCATAAATGAATTGAAGATAACGTGATTGACAATCAAACTGTGAAGTGATATATAGACTTATAACAATAGTTCATATTAAATAATTCATGCTTTCATACTTAATGGTCATGAGTAAGGAAAAAAGTTCACTTTTATAAATTATTATCGTACCATCTTTCAGTCTAATTTCTTCTAGTACAAAGTTAATGAGTACAAACAAGAGTACCGAATGCTTTATCAAAGATAACTCAAAGACTACTACTTACTGCTGATCAATGAAAATTTTTGGAAACATTGTCCTTTAAACTTCTTACTTAAAGGGTTTTAATTGAATGTACCAATCAACAATGAATGAGCAGTTCGTTAAAGGCTAACAGATTCACTTAAACTGAAGTAACAAAAAACTTTTATGATGAAGTTAGATTTTAGATTATTAGAGATTGTTGAGTTTCACAAAAATCATAAACTCATCAGTATTATACCCCAAACGAGAACCTGAAAGCACTGGACGGCTGTTTTGTCATGGTGTGAGACTCAGCAGTATGCATCTACGACCCCGAGCGTTAACACGATAAGTTTGATATCAGTGACGAGCCTTATATGAGTGGTAATGAACCACAGAAGATGAATCATTAAAATACACTTACCTCTCTATCAAACATGATAGACGTTAACAACCAATCGAAAATGTTATGACAAGTTCATTTCAAAACTAAATATACACTAATTTGCTGACTACTATAAAATAAAACAAAGTATAGATCACGGCACGACATCAAATAAGTTTATCGATCATTTAAAACTAGTATCTTTGCAGTGGGGTGTTGGCTAACATTCAGGATATATAGTTTATATGTATACAAAGTGGAAAGTATCCAGATTAGTTATTTAAAACCTACTTGATGGATTCAACTGATTAGAAGTACTTGGTGAACTAGCGATCGTCAGACCATGATCAAACGTATTTGTGATTGAAGTTATAACATCTGAAGGTCCGGATTTAGTGCTGAAATGCAATGAAAGTAAACAATTATTATGATTCATACGAAGAGTAAACAAACTACATTATTATGCTGATTCATGAGTAAGATAAGTGTAATGGACTAGTTAATTTTGTGCAAAAATTCAATAGATTGTGACTAATAGTTTGTATTTTATTAAAATTTAAGTAAATTCTATCAGTATTTAGTTACTAAAATACTTCAAATTGATAAGATGAAGAGGCTAAAGAATGAGGACTATGATTTATTAATTTTTAAGTTAACTTAATGAACTAACCAAATAATTATTTATCTTTATGGGCTGGACTATAGAGCACTTGACTACTTGATCGCTTATAATTAATCCTAATTACTAACGATATCTTCAAAATAACAAATTTCAGAATTGAAATGACAATCTAACTATTGAAGAGTGGTGACTTGTCGATAGAAAGATAATCTCTGCCCGAAAAGAACTAAAGTAAATAAACCTATGCATTGAAAAGAAAATGAGAGAAAAAAATGAATGAAACCAACGACTGAACAGTATAATAATTGCACAAAGTCATACATTTTAACAATGTCAACTAGCGAGATAATTATATTAGCTTAAAATACGAAATTTCATTGAAAGCATCGTTTGGAAGTTTTAAAACTAGGAACCATAAGTCCATTGCTTTGTGATGTAGTATGAGTCGTGAATGAATGATCACAGAGTTCGGTAGGATTATGATTAATAAGAGTTATTACGACTTTATCAAGATGTAAGCTTATACTAGTCATCATAAATGGTTTGATATAAGGTGTATGTTACACCTTTTGTAATTAAGTAGGTCCCTCTACCAAAAACATTTTATTACAAGTCTTCTTCACATTTCATTCACGTAGGGATCATCAACATGAAAGTGTTGTTAAAAGTCAATCATACAATCTATTCAGTTCGCATAGGTCCCGTTTGTAATTAGAAAGTATCGTTAAATCACTCTCAAAACAAACGACACTTAGATTAGGAAAAAATGCCTTTTAACTATGAGAGACAAACAATTCAGTAAATATATAATAATGCATACCCTCTTGATGCTTCTAAATTATTGCCAATTTTGTTTAGAATATCTTCGAATCCAACAATACCAGTAAATATATAAACAAGCTAAAAAAGAAAAAACAACAACAACAACAATAGGGAGAATTTAAACGAATTATTATCACAAAACATGAAAATTCACATTTCATCAACATTAATATTAATTAACTTAATATTCACGAGATACTTGAGTATAAAGCTACATTTTAGGTGTGACCAAAGGCTAATCGGAGATTAAGTATTTCAAAGTCGGACACGCTAATCGCTAAGTCACTGCTCTATTAGAACTCATAAGAAAAATCAATAAATACACAATTCAATAATTGCATAGAGATTTTTGAACTTAAACAACCTTTGTTTCATACTTAATCATAAACTCATCAGTTAGTTACTAAAATAGGTGAAGTGAAATTTAAACCTGCTAGTTAAAAACCCAATTATTCAACTAGAAAATTACAGTTTTTCATTCAAAGAAACGTAAAATAGCACTATTCGAACAATAAATACATGACTTAAAGTTATTATTGAATATTGAGTTCAAATATTTTATAACTACTATGTGTTTGTAACATCAAAATGACTTGATCAGTACACGTTTACGTGTTTCAAATTACTTGTGTGAGATCTAATGATACGGTACAACTGTCTCAACCCACGTAGGTGACGGAAGGTTTGAAAGTGTGATCTTATCGTGTGAAGCTAATCAGAAAAATTATAAGATCGTCCATGTACTGAAATCATCAAAATATATCTCAATAAGCTGAACATGAAACAATGCAATGTGTAGCGAACATGTAGTGAACATCGTTCAGCATCGCAAGGGTGAACTTTTCGTCCATCGTGACAATTATATTCTTTGTATTACTTATTCAATGTGAACTTTGTATATTTTGTACAGTAACCCTGTGTATCGTTTTATTAATATAATGTTTATTAATTAATCATCAAGTAGAAATACAGAAAACTGTAACTCAATCCCAACAAGAACCTATAAAAGATTAAAATACTTGTAATTAAATGGTAGGATTTGTAAACTACTGGTTAACTTTCGTCAATGACGAACATTAGGTGAATGAATTACAATTAAAAATCAAACTATTACAAAACAGGATAATAAAACATGAAGATTATGGGCTCTAATTTGCATGGAGCTGTGAGTACAAGTGTATGTGATAGTCGGTGATCATCTTAGCTTTTAAATGGAATTAAAGCTGATATCAGCTTCATACAAGAGATAAAAATTGAGGCCTGAATAAACTTTATTCAAAGTAAATAAGTGCCTCACAATTAATGTTAAACAGTAACTAACTTTATCTATTGTGATGATGATAACTCCTCCTGTTAAAGGTGAATCACTTTGTGGAAATGCTTCGGCTGAAATCACTTCACGTAGTGGGAGAATAATTTTAGTACTTTCCTTCTGTATAATTCAAAATATAATATCATATCAGTTACTAGATATATGAACTAAAAGGAATGTAGTCAGATTTACTAAAGATTTACAGTAGAACGCATAGCAGTAAAAAAAAATATGACTGAAAAACGTCATTTGATATACCAAGACAACTGTAGAACATTTATTTACCTAGAAACTCGTGATACCAACTAAAAATATGCTATAAAACACACACACACACACCCCTCGTCACGTTTCGATAAAATAATGAATAAGTAAACTAAAACACTCAAAGTGTACATATATAATTAGACTATTGAATAGGAAATACTAGCCTAGATTGCGCAAACAAATAAAAAGCTATTTAACATGTTTAAAATTACACTAACGCAAGACATTGAGAATATAGCTGAAACAGATGTTTTAATATCATGAATGATAGGTCAAACACAATAAGGCTGAAGAGTTACAAAATAGTAAGTCGTGTGAATAGCACAGCAATGACAGTCACAGTTGAAAAACCATAACCCAACCTACTCGTAAATTTGGTACTTATGTTCTTTTAATTGTTGTAATTATTTATCATTTCAATTGTTTAAGGGTTACGAATTTTTTCAGTCATGAGCATAAACTTCTAGCAATCCTCTGGTAAACATTTGAGCTATAATAAAATATTCTAAACATAGACTAGAAGACACTTACTAACTTGGCCCATACATAAAACAGATTAGCATTATTTAGCTGTAATAAAGACCATTAAATGTTTGTTGACTGAAACGACTCTTATAAGACGACGCTTGTGATCCCTTTGATTTCTGTAAGTGATGTCAGTGAGAAAACAGTTGAAGAGCTAATAAAACTTAAGAGTTATAAGAAAGTTGTCCCATGCTATCCGAAGATCCTTTGTGATTTCCAGCATCAACTATGTATACTTCAGACACAGTAACAAACAAGACCTTTGAAGATATGATTAAACTAAACAACCAGTTGGTAGAGGTTCGATATGATCATTTGTTGAAACACGAATTAGTATTTTAAAGGCTAAAATATTTCAAGGAGTTTAATAGTTTTAGATCTAATCACGAGAGATAGCATGATCGATTGTTAGAGACCCTGAATGACATGGCTCAAAACCCGTTTGCAATGGCGCCGGTGCATTTATTCTTTGTGTTCTCTCAAATCTTAATCTTCTGGATTCTTCAACACCTCTACTTTTGTCTTTCCAAACTTATCTCACTGAATCATACTTCCTGAATAATATCTTCTAATCCTAACCTCTCCTAATACTTCTAATACCTTTACTACCTCTACTACTATTGGATTTGAATTGACAATTACATCTCTGTGCTAATGTGGTATGGCAACATGAACTGATGTACTTACCTACGAAGTTACTACATTGCATCTGACTGACTGATTAACATAAGAAATAAATCACTAGTATTCAATGATTTGTGATAATCATTTTCCTAGTGCTTATTCATGATGATGAATCAACCTCAACTTTGTAAGAAGTGCTCTCCCACAATCATAGTAGACAGTTTTATGAGTATCAAGAATCCCTAATTAACTAAACTCATAACAATGTTAAACAAATGTTATTTCAAGTCATCACAAAAGGTGTAATTCATTGAAAATTCAGTAAATAAATCAGTAAACTAACTGATGAACAGTAGCAAATAAATTGAGCGGATAAAAACATTTTGCCACAAATAGTTTCTGTATTATCCAACCGTTGTAATTTACAATCAACGGAAGTTTCTATAATTTCATAGGCCGGTAAATGAAACAAATCTTGAAAATGTTGACTACGTATTAGCACATCCAACTTATCCGATAAATTGGATGAGTTCTGAGTAAGTGCGCTGGTGAATCAAAAAGAAAAAAGGAACATCGATATACTTGACACTAAGTAATTACATATGAAGAAAAGTCATAAAATATATTTAATATCTGTTAATTTGACTCACAAGTGACGTTTCAAAGGTTTTTTCATGAATGCTATACCTAGGAAACTAGATGATGTAAATACAATCATATTGTCATATAAATTTAAACTAGTGAACAGTTCTATTGTATTATTCTAACTTACTAGATCAGATTTTAAGCAAAGTTGCGTTGCAGCTAGCAGTGAGATAAGGAAAGTGAGTCTTACCATTTAAGTGTACTTGCATCTCAGTTTAGCACAGAGACGCAACTGTCAGTTCGAATCCGATAGTGGTATCGATAGTAGAAATATTAGTAGTAATGGAGAAGATTAGGGTATAATTCAGTGAGATAAAGTTAGAAAGAGAAAGATAGAGATGATGAGTAATTCAGAAGCTTAGAATTTCATAGAACAGGAAGAGTGGATGCACTTGAGCCATTGCAAACGATTTTGAGGCATGTCGTTCAAGGTCTGTAACCATTGATGACTTTCGTCTCGCGGACCCCAACCAGGTAGCCTACATCTACCAACATGACTTAGTCCACTAGTCAGTGACTTCATGGATTTCTGGCATGTTTTGGTTTGGCCACCACTAGTAAGTGATAAGAAAGGTAATTCATAGGGCACATATTTACTTAACAGACAAAGTTTAAACATAACAGGTAACCAGTAACAGCAAAATGAAAATATGAACCAAAATGCTACTCTAATTATAAGCTGAAAACGAATTTGTACATTTTACGACTTTAAGGAACATACGTCGTGGACACTATAATATGGTTGATTCTTACTATGAGCAAACCGAACATTATGTTAAAGTAGAAGCTACAATACTGTTTTACAGCAGACTAAACATTAAACTCGCAATTCAGAAGTAGCGTTTTTGATCCCTTCAAGGATTTTGGGATATTTATATTGGGTTGTGTTTGAGGTATTACAGTGACAAACGACGCTTCACGGAAGTTCAATAATAGCTTCAGAAATAATAGGTAAAGCACGTTACGAAAATTTGTGAATCAGTAAAAACTTTCATTAATGATGCAACATACAGAGACAAATAAATCACTTACATTTTTAGGTTTAAATCAAACTGCGACCAACTTGTATAACAATCGTCAACCAAAAGCCTGATAAATTGCGGAAACAGAAAAGACTAAGTGCTTTGATGAAACAGGGAAAATATAAGTGAGGAGATACACCCTATTTGAGAAAAACTTTGGTTTAGTAATTCAGCATTTCTTAAATCGGATTGCATTCCAAATGTGTAGTGCATCATATCCAATGTGTAATTCATGGTTGTCTATCAAACTAGGTTTCATTTACTCTATTATTACCATTAGAAACCTGGAAGAACTGGATAGGATTTTCGTTCTAGTATCAAACTTCTCAGCAGTGCGCATCCACAACCTCTGCATGCACGAACCGAACCCAGGACCTTTGGGTTGTAGGTGAACACTGATGAGGAGTGCCAAACTAAAACAAAAAGTCCGCTAAGTGCTTTGAGGTTTCTAATGGTCTTTTAGGTTGAATTATTTTGTGACTCCAACTATGAAAACAATACAATCTCCGCAAGTCCCCTCACAATCACATATATGTTAAACAATGGGTGAAAGTTTGTAGATAAATTGTTGAAACATAAGCTGGTAGTAATAACAAGTGTTTCAGTCTCTACCAGAATAACAACTAAAGAATATAGTCAATCCAACCATCACCTAAGAGGTTTGACAGTGCAAACCAATCTTTTTCTAGACCATTTCGGGAAGATCATTAACCAGGAAGTTACATACTCCCATATGTTCTGACAAAGACAGAAATCTATTTTCCCCACCACCTTACATTATTTTTCTGACATCGTTATCTTGACTACTAACTAATATTTGTGACAGCATTACTGAAGTTTTCCATATGGATCCGAAGAATTTGTCGTAATGTTTAACTTCAAACGTAATGCCGGTCGAGTTGAAAATTTATCTTTAGCTACACTGTAATCGAACAGACACCTAACGGTGAATAGAGGGTTGGGAACAGGTGAATACAATTAATAATGTCCATGAACTATATCAGATGTTACCACTGGTGTTCAGAATTTCAATATAAATTGACGGTTGGCTGGTTTTCGTCAACCCTTCAGGGATTGACTCATTCTTTATGAGTCCTCTGGTCGAATCATTCTATGTGTGTAGCGAATTCTTATCAAGTCCCCTGAATATCCTGAACTAAAACTTTCGGGCACTCGACATGTTTTGAATACATACACATGAAATGGTGCCTTTTTATTATGTTGTAATAACCTGCTTTGAAAACAAAGAATACATTAATTGAATTTTTAAACCCCTTTATTTATCATGGCTAGATTACATTCAAAATGTCGGTCACTAGTGATATTTCGGCACTCCCCAATTTAACAAAGTTAGCGCTGAAGCCTGAAGCATTAAGATAACACTTTGTGTCCCACATAAGACACAGATGAATTATTCAGATAATAAACTATCCTTTTATCATTAATGTTGCATTATTCTGAAAGCCAGTTAAAATATAACCAAAATGAAATACCAAATAAAAATAAGAAGTACAACAGTATAACGTGTTTTATAACTATACTTAGCATAAATTTAAACGTTCAACCTACTGTCTAACACCATAATTAACCAACTGCAGAATCATATGAAGTGCTTCATCAGAACTTGTTGGAATAACAAAGTGATACTGAAAAATATTTTAAAAAATAAGAGCATTAACTAATTAGTAAAAATATATTCAGTGATAACAAAAGTTTAAGTAATCTGTTATATGTACTTTGTTCTTTTAGTGTTATACCTGCATATAGTATTTTTGCATTGTCTTCTATGTGAGCCTTTTCTAGTTATCTAATGAAGTATCTCCTTTCAAAGTTTTTTAATATTTCAGGAATTACTCTTTAAGTTGGTTAGCGTGTCACAATGCGTGCACATTGATTGCAATAAGGAGCACATCGTGACAAGAAATACAGAGTAGAAAATACCATTCAGGGAAATCAATCAGAGTAAATACTAAACTTTTCAAGGTCATTAGACACATTATTACAGTTTGAGCTATATAATGACTCTATTCACTTACAAACAAATATTTTGCGATGGACAAAACAACAGACTATACTAGAAATAAGTAAGGCGATAATGTAATATACTTAATAAATAGTGAATTAGAACACCTAAGGAGAGAACATTATCTCTTATTTACGAACACACAGTCTAACAGCTGAGTATGAGTGATATTTGTTGGAAGTGTTTCTCTTTGGAGCTTATAATTAGGATGCTTATGAGGAGAATAGGTGAACTACACAACAGTTTTAAGGGAAATAACCATTTTTATGATTGTCTACGTATTTTTAAGACAAGATATTATACGATTATGAATTTCAACAGTCGCAATGAGCATATGGATACAAGCTCGACTGACCAAATAACACGAAGCAGAATGCTTAGTTTCCTTTTTATAGAAGAAACAAACGCTAGAAGAGCTTGCGACAAACAAACTAAAAACATGACAAGGATAAAGCTTTCAGCAAGACGGGACTATCGTACCTAAATAAATAATTCCCCCGTGTTGCAGATGGCCACTTATGAGGTTCAACCTCTTTGAAAATATTAGGATGGTGGGAGGCGCTCAAAACCCTGACTGTCAAATAAGAAAGATCTGTTTACAACAGAAGTACAAGTAATATATATATTTGATCTTTGAGTAAGTCAAGTGAGTAAAGATGTGCGTAAAATTCAAATAAAAAACAACCATAACAAACTTTCATCGAGACAGAAACATCAATCTCCGAAATATTGATTGAAACTTACCGCCTGGTTACGAGTTTGTACACAAATACTTCTTGGAATTCGTGATCGTGACTGAAAGACAGACTATGATATTAAGATTAAATAATAACATCACATACGGTAATGTGAATCCAGGGTACACATATTTTTGTACCAAATATGTTAGGATAGAAGCATAAGTAATTCAAAGTTAAGATCATCCAACCAGGACGTGACTCCTTCCCACTGGCGAGGAGACAAAAATAATCTGCAGATATTTGAGTTTCAAAAATGTTCACTTACGAATCACTTCTCTTTCTTTGAAAGGGAAGTTGAAAATTTGGCGAAGTTTCTCTGGAGTGTAATTACCACTTTCTAAACATTAATCTATATAAAAAAAAACTCACTATCCTCCATTTCTCGAGAACGAAAATTTTTAGAATCTCCAGAAGTTAAGCATGGAAGTAAGTATCAACCTGTTTCTACAGCACAACATCATCAAGAATACACATTTGATGAATTATTAACTGAAATGAAAATTTCTTTGTTTTAGATTGTTTGTAGACCAAAAACGGTAGATTTTACAATAGCTATAGACAGATGAAGTGTGAAATAAAAACTCGAAGAGTAAAAGCAACGAGTTTTGAAATTTCACTGAAAACGACCAATGGAAATATTTACAACAAATTTTTGTCAGTCAGTTACAACATAGAACTTGACGTACATCAGTTCAGGTTACCATACCACATAAGCACAGAGATTTTATTGTCAATTCAAATCCCATAGAAGTAGAGGTAGTAGAAGTATCAAACAGAAATTAGAGAGATTAGGGTTCGAAGATATTATTCAAGAAGTAGAATCTAGTGAAATAAACTTAAAAAGTAAAATATAAAGGTGATGAGGATTTCAGAAGGTTAGGATTTCATAAAACACAAAGAATAAATGCACATGCGCCATTGCAAACGGTTATGAGCCATGTCATTCAAGGTCTCTAACTATAGATTACTATAATTTTGCGGACCGCAACCAGGTAGTCGACACCTGCCGACAAGACTCACTCCATTTGTCAGTGACTTCATGGATTTGTCATGTTTTGGTTTGCCCGCCGCTAGCTTTTGTCCAACCTACTCCTATATCGCAAAACAGCTCGACGAGGCAGTCGGTGATTGGGCATTGGTAACACATGTCACAACCACCTCAACTGATGAATTTTCAATACTTCACCTATTGATCTGCCATCTTTACCCAGTACCCGATTCCTAACGACAGCATTGCTTACTCGGTTGTCACAGGATACACGAGCAATGCTTTTGAGATACCTATGATGTCTCGTTTGTGGCCCCCTCCGGGGCTACTGTTGGTCCCGAGCCCGGATAGGGGAAAGGGATTGGGCTCGGGGTTATCGACCCCGTCCCGTAGAAAACTAACTTGCTAAAAACACGCTAAAAAATTTTTGTAGTGTTGTAGCACTATTATTGAAAAGTTTGGTGGAGAGACTTAATTAATGTTATGGCAACCCAAAGATTCAAACCAACGGGGTAGGGAGGATCCACTTAGGAGGGCCGGAAAATGTTGGTTACGAACCAAATGTGGATATGAGCCCCAGTACCTTGAGACGATAAGTGATGTATGAACCTATTCTTGGTCACCGGCTACCACGAGACTATATCTCCGAACGTTAGTTCACTGCCTTGTGAATAAGAAGGCTCAGAGACTAGTCCTCTGAGGGCACTACCAGCTACCGTATGGGCACCCAAGCAGTATCCTAAATCACACATAAATTCAATGATTTGTGTGGTGTATAAATAATTAGGTGCCTCCTAAGTAGAATAATTTTATTTTATCCTGCCTATTCACAAAAGTGCATATTTACGTACTTGCCCTTGGACGACAGGCTTTCCTACGTGCTATGGGGTGAACGAGACTACTTCTACACTCTACTGACTAGTTGGAAGTTCAGTTTCTGTGTTAAGGCCTTGTTGATCGATAACCTGCACAGAGTAATGTTTGCATTAAAGTTGATATCGTTTAAAACACTTATAACTTATGAAATTAGCCAATATCATTGGACGCAAATTATAGGAAATGCATTAAAAACTAAAAATCTAAATACGACTGAAATGCGATGAAGGTTTGACTGTAGTTTGACTGCACAAAATTTGTTGGATTTGACTGAAAGATGACCACCTTAAACTGAACTGTAGATCAGGAGAGACTTTTTCCTCATGAAAAATAGTCAAGTGTCATACATCCGATATAAAGAAAAGATAATGTGGTTTGAAGTCGAATTAAGCCCTTTTAAACCGTTGTAATGAAATTCGGCTTCAACTATAGATAAAGCTGCCAATATCTTAAACATGTGATAAGTTTATATTTGCATTTCGATGAATAAGAAAACTTAGATATTGGTGCACCGTGCTGATGATCAACTAACCTAAAAGTGATCTGACATATATACTTATGAAATTGAATACAGGAATACCTATCAACAGTGATGCTAAAATTGCATTTTGTAAAAATATTCACAAACTATTTGGAAGATAATTTGAGAGACGAGATAGCCCTGTTGTGTGGACAAAAGATGCTTCTAAAATAATAATGACCAAGTGAAATTTACATTTGTCTTGATCGACAGATGGTCACTGAAATAAGACAGATGAGACATTAGGATATCGGTATGTGCTACGAAATAAACCAGTCCCACAAGCATTATCGCGGGTTCAAAATACAGAAAGTTTTTGAAAATTCGCAAGTATTAAAGAAACACCTCAGATGTGTTAATTAAGGTAGATATTAAAGTTAGGAATAAAATGGAACAGAACCTACGTTACGCATACCTTCGGAACAAGCGCTACTGAAATTCAATATCCAATATCTTTTTTAAAAGGTTAGGTCAGTCGACTGATGTATCTGCTTTCGATTCCCTTTCTTTAAGCACAGTCCACGGTGTTTGGAAATTTACGATGGTATAATTGCCGCTCTAATGCACTAGTTCTAACTGTTTAAGAATTCGTAAGTCCCGTGATTTGAGCGAGTGCGTTTGTCCCAGGGCAATAAAGTTCATGGATACCAGCATCTATCAAATTATCAGGCTGGAAGTCATTTAGTCGCAATTTTCAGAAATGAAGGAGAAAATTTGATTGCTAGTTATGAGATTTCAGAACTAAGTAGATAAGTGGAAAATTTAGTTGATTGGTAGTGAAGATTACGCGAGAGGGCCAAAGTGCAAGCAAATAACATAAAACAGAGACAGATTAAATAAGTGATCTGTGGAAATTTTTGTAATATCAACTAGTATTAGGCAAAGCTGATCCAAGAGGGAAATAATAATCGGTTTATGAATACGTGTTTGTCAAGTCTCTTCCTGAGCTATCCACTGTATGCTATAATGAGATCGCCTCTGATTTCTCTGTAAATCAGTGGTGTCTAAATTGGTAAAGTTTATTCTGTAATTCTGGCGTCCGTCTTTTTGCCGGTCTCTGCATTTTATCCGGGAGATTTATGTCTCTTTTAGAGAGAGATAGAGAGAATGAGATGACACTGTGAACTGCAAAGTGTGGCCGTACATATACTTCAACAACAGTTAGGGACAATCACGGGCTATTGTATCAAGTTGTCCTCGCATTAAGTGAACGGTTGCGTTAGCCATGGTTGCACCTCCTGTGTAGTTTGAGGTGGAGCTTAGTTTCTGAGTGGTTATTATACCAAGACGAAACATCAGGTAACGGACTTCACTTGAGGGTGTACGTTGTCTGTGTCACGCAGGGCAGAATATTCAAATCTTCACATTTTCACTGATTTAGTATTAAACCGTTCTCTACTGCCGATTCTTCAATTGCTATATGGTTCAGTCGAACTCTCTCCGCTTCCTACGGACCACCAGGTCCTTGCATCAGTACCACTTAGCTGATTTTATCTAAGTCATCACAAAATATCAGAGTGAGGAGTCGGTGAAACTCCCGAGGATGAGACAAGCTTGCTTGCACGTACTTCATTTATTTTGGTGCGAAACCTTCTGTTCTCTAGGTAGTTTCCCAGTCAAAATAGAAATGG